AACTGCTCGCCTTAGAGATCGGGTTTCAGGGTTCAGGGCTTGGGGTTTAGGAGGTCAGGGTTCAGGGCAGGGTTCCGGGCTCAGGGTTCAGGGACCCTACGTCCACCGTGACTTCAATTCGCTCCTGGGGTTTTCTTTGAACAGTTTCGAGGCTTCGATCGAAACGACTCGAAGTGACCCTCGACAGCCAATTCGCTCCTGGGGTTTTCTTTGAACAGTTTCGAGGCTTCGATCGAAACGACTCGAAGTGACCCTCGACAGCATGCCAGTGATGTCGGATTAGTTTACTGTAGGCTTCAGGGATTGGGGTCTTAACCCAAAGCCCCAAAACCCTAAACTATCCTAAACTCTTAAACCCTTGTATGTTTGTGTTTTATTGGCATCCATGTAGGCATCGATCCACAACGGTTTAGGGTTTAGGGGCACTGCAATCATTTTCAGGATTTAGGCGTTTGAAGTCTAGAGTTTCTACCCGAACTTTCGGGGCCCGAGCCTTCAGTGCGCAGACCTTACAACCGCAGGCAAGCGAGACGTGGTGACAAGTTCTCAGGATACTGAATCCTAAACCTGCCACCCCCAAACTACAGTGAGAAAGCCCCGGTAGGCGATGTAGAGCACACAGGAAAGCTCGTGGGCGTCAGGTTGCAAGAGCTCTTCCAGAGCCTTCACGGAGAGCCTCAGTCCAGGGGTCATGGTTTAGGGTTTTAGGGTATGCTTCGGGAGTTTGGTTCAACAGGTGATGGGGTCTCCTCAGTTTCGTTCACGCCTTGTTGGGCATGACGTTACGGCACAGCTTCTACATTTGGGACTTGTGAAGGTCTACGGTGTGGCGATGATGATCGTCATGGGGTGTTGACGGTGCTGATGTTGAGATAACAACAGCATCAGCAGCAGCGTCAGTACCGTCTTCACGGGCTTCTCCTCGCCGACGTAATCATTATCATCATCATTTTGGCCAGCATCGTTTCGAACGTTTCTCCTCACCATCACGGTTGCCACGACAGCCATCGCCGCCGTCGGCATGATCAGCATCGTTTTCTTCGGCAACATCACCATTGTCATACATGCGCATCCCGACCATCATCACAATCAACGTCATCTTGATTCTGATCATCAACATGGCCATCAGCATCACAGCCCTCATCACCAGTATCTGCTTCATCATACTAGACATCGCCATCCTGGTCAGTGTCAGCATCCTCCTCACCGCCATCAACATCGTCATCTCAGCTACTCTTGTCATATCACTCATACTTGCTCTCGAACTGTCAGTGCACTAGCATATTCCTACAGCTGGGCCCCCCCTTTCTGGCACAATGTTTTTTACAATGTTGCTGCATGCATGACGAAACACGCTCTTGCTATTCTAGTCAGCAGCATCAGGAGAGCAACTCTCTCCACACATTATGGGTTATGTCCGTAACATTTGATCTACTCGCTGGCAATGGCCATCACCACGATCAGTTCGCTGAACAGCTGGCAGCGCATGAACACACAATACAGGGACCCTGAACATGCTTTGAGGGTCGAGTACACAATAGTACCACTAATGTAGAGACTGCAAGGGGATTCTTTGAGACAAGACCTGAACCGAAAATAGGGGCCTTAATAACTAAAGCAGAGTTTGGGGGTACATTATACTATAACTATAACAGGGAACCTCCAAAATAGTATAGGTAATTATTCAGGCCCATATGTTACCCGCCCGGGCCGAGCTGCTTCTCCACACCCTGCAGGCTCAGACGTCGTAGGGGCAGCTGCTGCAGAAGGTGGCAGAGCTTCGCTGTGGGCTCGGATAGGCAAGACCTGATGGGGGCTGCTTCGCGCAAACGAAAGGAACACGAGCCAGCTGAGACTTTTCCCACAAGCATGTGTTTATGGTGTGTAGGGTTCATGAACTGCAACACATGCAGCTGCAACTCTCATGCTCTGGTTAACCTCGCCCCACTACCCCGTCAGTCACCCAAAACAGATCCACGTCTAAGTCTGGGCTCCTGAACCCTCTCTCCCCCTAAAGTTGAACTCCTGAAAGCTCCAATTCAGAAATCTTGCACACTGCCACATTAAACCCTGGTACTCCGAAACGCTTCAAGCTAAGCTGCGTAGCAAGCCTCAACTCCTGGAGAATGTGACAGGCTTCTGGCTAAGCATTGGTTTTCTGTTTTCGGTGTGAAATGATATACGTACATAGACACAGAGATAATGACAGAGACGGCGACACAGACATAGATGTAGGCATGCATAAAGATATAGATGCGGGTATGTATATATATATAGAGAGAGAGAGAGACAGGGGGAGAGAGAGAGAGAGGGAGAGAGAGAGAGAGGGAGAGCGATGCAGATGACACAGAAAAAGGTCAGTACGGATAAGGATAATGGAGATGTAGATGCACATCAAGATACAGATATACGTATACCAGTGGATATACATATACATCTAGACAAATGTATAGTTAAAGATTTAGGCAGATATACAAATACAGATACAGGTATAGATAAACAGAACTAGTGCCGGTGCAGGTGTGTGTGTGTGTGTGTGTATGTATATATATATGTGTGCATACAGAAACAGATAGATATGAGTCTAGGAGTGTCTCTATATGTGTATATCTATATACACATGCGTATGGATGTGTACTTTGCTGATAGCTCTGTGTCTAACTATTTGTGTCTACGTGCTTACTTGCATGTAGTGCTGCTTACATGTAGATTTGTATTTGTATTCATACGTATCTAGACATGTACCTGCGTGTGCGTTTATCTACCCATTATCACTATTCGTCTTATTAGAATTCTTGCCGTTGACAAGCTACACATCTGTGCATGCAGTATAGAAAAGAGTTGAGACTTGAATTGAATTCAAAACACATCAGGTGCTCCCCATTCAACTGTCTGTGGCTTGAGACGCTTTTTTGGGGTCTAGGGGTGTTTAGGTCCTCAACTTGGCTTGCAACAGCCACCCTCAAGGAAGGTCTCAAGCCCAGGAATCTCCACAAAAAGACCATCAACCACCATAATGATTCCTGCAAATCCATCTGAGGACAAAATCCTAAATCCAAGGCTTGTAGAGCACCGCTAAAAACGAACCCACCAACACTGCAAAGCATGCTACACCCACCAGCTCCTCCATGGCCATATCCAGACCTGGGTCTTAGTAGTTCCGTATCACTTACAGTATCTCTTTGCACTCCCTCGACTAACTCGAGTAAAAGGTACGACTCTAACAATTACGGCCATTACATCATTCAGGCCCTGTATAAAACTCCAACTAGGTCCTCCATGGCCAACATCGCCATCGCTAGCGACCCGCGGCTCGAGATGCGCACTGCCAGCCTTGGCGAAATGAGGGAGAAAATGCTTTGCAGGATTCAGGGCTTGCCTATCAAAGTGTTGAAAAGGCTTTTGACAGGTTTTACAGTAGATGGTTTTATAAAGGTTTCCAAAGGGTTTTAAGAAGCGTCCCATAAGTTTGGTTGCATAACCTCACGGGTCTTAAGATCCTGTTATTTCGGCATTCAAAATCAGGGCACTGTACGTTCGGAAACTTCTCAGTCAAAGTTTAGGCATTCGGGTTGCGAGCTTAGGTGCGGTTTAGGGTTTAGGGGTTGCAGACTTCAGGACTTGAGGTTTGTTAAGGCTTTACGGTTCGCGGATCGGTGCACACCATGGGGCTGAGGGTCTTGGATGCTCTCTGAGATAAGAACCCCTATTTGGAGTCCTTACCAGAATAGTCGCACGCTCTTTTGGGGATGCATCACCTCAAATCAGAGAAGCAGTGCTGAAAGAAGGGATTGGGCTGCAGAGGGGAAGGGTCCCCAATGATAAGAGGCTGATGGTCCTCGGGATCCAGATTTAGGGTTTCGGGCCCTGGGGTTTCCAGCCGTTTCCATGGTTCAGGGCTTGGGATTCTCGAGCACGGGCACGGAGCTGCTGCTGAAGAGTGGCTTTTGCTGAAGAAAATGTGCAAACCAAATGCCGCAAACAGGGGGCCACGCCGCTGTGTTGCATTTACTGATGCATCTCTTGCTTGCTTATCTTCTTCTAAACCCTTCAAAGTTGAAAAACCCTTTGAACCTGCAGGTCTTGCACATCATGATGAGCAACCTGGTGAACCCACAAATCCCTCCAAAAAAACTCGCAGTGATGGAAATCATGCCCACTGCCAATGGAGACCAAGAAAATCAACACGATCACCGTAGGTCTATGTATGCATAAAGATATACATATACATATACATATACATATACATATACATATACATGTGCATGTACATATACATAAACATATACATATACATATAAAAGTACATATACATATACATATACGTATACGTATACGTATACGTATACATATACATATACATATACATATACATATACATATACATATACATATACATATACATTTGCATATACATATACATATACATATACATATACATATACATATACATATACATATATATATATACATATATATATATATATATATATATTATGTAAATATTTATATATGAGAGTTTCCGAGAAAATGTCCCTAATATTGTATCCTACGTAGTAGGATCCTTGCTATAAGGACCCCAAAATAAGGTGCCCCATACTTTTCGGACCCCATATTTTTCGGAAACTCCCCTATCTCAATAAACAAACCATCACAGGCTCTGTAAGATGGAGAGATGCATGCCTGGTTCATCCGAGTCGCTGCTCCGCTTGGGAGCAGCGGGCAATGACGAGTTGCCCAACATGACCGTCCATGGCTAAGCTAATGACACCAGGTAGGCTACCGGAGGATATGGAAAGCGGTACCAAAAGTGAGCAGGGCTACGAACAGATGCAAGCGACACTGGTCTTAGCAGATACAGCTCCGACGTATCTCTCATTCCAGAAGACATGCTCCATGAGAAACGTTGTTGCAAAAGGCTGCGAGGAAAGGATATCACTGGATCGGACTTTTCTGACCAAGAGGGCACCGCAAGATAGCTTGACTACAGGGGAGCAGTCCTTGTCTTCCTCTTCCTCCTTCTCCTCCTCATCTTTCTCCTCCTTGTCCTCCTCCTTCTCGTCTTCCTTTTCCTCTGCCTCTGCCTTCTCCTCGTTGTCTTCGTTCTCGTCCTCGTCGTCCTTCTCCTCCTCCTTCTCTGTCTCGCTCTCCGCGTCCTCGTCCTGCAGGAATGATACACTGGGGCAACAGAGAGGGAACGCTCCAGTGCACTACGGAAACAGTATCTTTCTAGCAAAACCTCCAAGCATACACAAGCACAGCAACCCCCCCCAACCCCCCAAGCCTGAACCCTTGAAACCCAAAGCACTGAACCCTGAACCCCGAGCCTCCTTTTTGGGGACGGGCTCACCGGCAGGAGCCTCCAACGTGAAGGCTTGAGGATTCAGCGATTCTGTGGCTTCAGCTTGCGAAAAATGCTGTTGTTGGTGGTGGTGGTGGTGGTGGTAGTGTGCTTGCTTCTGTTGTTGCTGTTGTTGTTGCTGCTGCTGCGGTTGTTCTTGCTGTTGTTTTGTTGTTGTTGTTGTTGTTGTTGTCGTTGTTGTTGTTGTTCTTATTGATATTAGTCTTGCTCGTGCTCTTATTCTTATTGTTCATGTTCGTGTGCTTGATATTGCTACTGTTCTTGTTCCGGTGCTTGTTCGTGTTAATGTTCTTTGTTGTCATTATGTTGTTGTTGTCGTTGCTGATGTTGCTGCTGTTGCTGCTGCTGCTGCTGCTGCTGCTGCTGCTGCTGCTGCTGCTGCTGCTGCTGCTGCTGTTGCCGTTGCCGTTGCGGTTGCGACTGCAGTTGCGGTTGCGGTTGCTGTTGCTGTTGCTGCTGATGTGGTTGGTGTTGATGTTGTTGCTGTTGTTATATAGGAGCAAGAGGGATAGCGGCGAGGAGGAGCAGCAGCAGCAGCAGCAGCAGCGCTACCACCACCGCCATCACCAGCACCAGCAGAAGCAGCCAAGATAGTAACAAGAAGCACCATCAGCATGAGGTATATGAAAAAATAATATATCATGACATGATGTAGGGGAGTATGATAGTATGATAATATATACTAATATCATGTAGTATTGTATAGTATGATATAATAGAGTATACTTAGGCCATGGAGACCCTTGTGTTCAAGCCGAGGGGCGGGTGTTCCCTCGGATTCGAGGATTTCGGGTCTGACCGGCGGCTGCTTAGGCAGCGCCTGTTTACCTGGCAAGACCAGAGCTTCGGGTGTAAAGCGTTTAGGGTTCATTGCTTAGTGTTTAGGGTTTAGGGTGTGGGGTTTAGGGTTTTATACAAGTTTGGGGTTTGGGGTTTTGGGGTTAGGGAAGGTTTGGAGTTTAGGGCTTGCTCATCAGCTCGCCACTCGAAAACTCTCAACATGGAACGCCGCACATCTACAGCCACCAGGAAGGCAAATGATCCGAAAATCTCCAAACCTTCCCTAACCCCAAAACCCCAAACCCCAAACTTGTATAAAACCCTAAACCCCACACCCTAAACCCTAAACACTAAGCAATGAACCCTAACCGAAAGACCACGCCGACCCTGCGAGCTGCTGATGGACCTGCTACAGTAGAAGCCAGAAAGTTGGAATATCATTATCATAATCCCTTTAAGGTGAATTATAGGGGATCCTGCCATTATTCCATATTCCAACTTTCTGGAGTTCCTTTTAGACCTTAAAGGGAAACCCTTTAAATTTTTCGAGGCCCCTAAACTGAATGCCGAAGCAAACGTAGAGCAACAGAGGCTATCTACCCAGGCGCCCATTGGAACTGTCGGGATTGGGGCTTTCAGGGCTTCAGCGTTCAGGGCTTCTAGATTTAAAGGTTTCGGGGTACGGGTGCTAAGACCTTAGGGTTCAAGGCTTAGGGATCCAGGACGACTGACGCCCCGACAGGCTCTGATCAGCACACGCACCCTTCGCAGCTCCGAGCGGCAAACGACTGCTACTTTGCCCGATCTGTTTCTTCGCAGTCTTCTGAGGCAAAAAAAGGCGACTGGAAACTCAGGCACAACCCTAAACCCTAAACGGATGGGCTGCTTTGCATCTAGCCGCCAGCGCTTGCCGTGTCTAGCCGCATTGCATTGCCGCTGACGATGGCTGACAGGCCTATAATATAGGGGCCTTAATGTATAATCAGAGTAGGATTTTGGGGGTTATGTTATACTATGAATATAAAAAGGTTTTTGGGGTAATGAATCCCCCAAAATGGTATTGGTACTTATTGAGGCCCCTATATTGCGTAGATCCTGAAGCCAAGACCCTAAACCCCAAAGCGGTGGTAAAGACTCCAGATTCCCAAGAAGTTGATGGAACCTCTCCATTGAGCACACTAACCCTAGACCGCTAACGAAATCCCAAACACAACAACACTCAAAAACCAAGATCTGCAAGCCCTGAAGCCCTGAACCCTAAGACCCTGAAATCTACCCCCCCCAAAGCCCTGAACTTTGAACCCCAGCCCCAAGCTTCACAGCCGCGAACCCTAAACCACTACCCCTACACCTGAAGCCCCGCACAACACCCTAAACCCAATGCTCCAAACCCTAGAACCCCCGAAAACCTCAACCCGAAAATCCTAAAGCCTCAAAGCCCGCAGCCCTAAAACCATAAAGCCCCAAAGCCTAAAACGCCCGAAGCCCTAAAACCGATACTTCGGGCTTCCCAGGCCTATGTGCACGGAGAACCATGCTCGACTGACGTCTCCGTTCGGATCCCCTCTCCTGGGGGTTTAGGGTTTAAGGCCATTAAATTGGCGTACCGTCGGCGTACCGTACTTATAAAGGTTACCAGATAAACGTTATCCTGAGGGAGAACTAGAACCCGGACTATCCGGGTTACTAGGCTTCAAGACTTTCGGGTTTCGGGGGTGTCGGGTTTTAGCGGGGGGTGTACGTCCTAGGGTTGGTGTATTAAAGTGATTTCGGGGTGTACGAGTTGGGTTCGGTTGCAAGTATGAGGGTTAAGTTTAGGGTTCAAGGGTTTCATTAGGGAGCTGGGAGGTGCATACCAAGCTGCTCGAGTTGTCCTTAGCCCCAGGCCTTGACAAGCCATCTGAGAATTTCGGGATTTCTTGAACTTAGGGCGCGTTGGCGGCAGCTACAGCGTGGCAGATGCGGCAAGGCATGCATCCTCCGTATATGTCTGTATGGCTTGATTTTGAAAAGTTGGCTGCTGTAAGGGCCTTGATAATTAGACTGGGGCTCCTTTAAAGAGGTCTATAAGGGTTACTTTTAGGGACCAATTAACCCAATGACAAAAATCATGCTCAAATGAAGATTGAAGATACATAGTAAATACAGGTGACATTACTTCCCAAATGCATGCCTCTACGGCATGGAGACAGCGAGCGCCGATCCGGTTCAGGCTCTTGAGTTCTACTTACCAGGAAAGAGGGGAAGCCCCCTCAATTTACGGGCCTTAAAGAATAGAATAGGGTTTTGGGGGTTCCTTATCATCATTATAGTAAAATATACCCCGAAACACTATTCTAATTCTCGTTAATGAAGGCCCCTTCATTACTCTCCCAGGCCCGGGAGTTGATCCCCCAGCCGCCGGCAAAAACCGCCGGTCCTCAGGCGCATGGGGAGCACCACGATGGAGCCGTCCTGTCCGCGAGTTTGAGGTTACCACGGCTGAAGCAGTGAAGCGGGGTGATGCTCATAAGCACTTTTTGAGTCTCACAACTGCTGCATGAAGGCTGCTGGATCAAACATGGAGCCATGAACGCACCAGATCGATACGCACTGAGGCCCTCATTCCCCAAAACCCAACCCTCTGCGCCACGCACAGCACGACTTGAAAAACGGATTACGAAAGCTAGCAAACGACCGAGGATGGCCCATGCTGGTGGAAAAAGAGCCGAAGCAACATGGCCCCAGCTTGGGGTCTGTCTAAGGCTTAGAGTTGCGACTTTTGTATCTGACTCTCCGTTTCTGTCTTTATATCTCTCTAACTAACTGTCGGTCGATCGACCTCTCTATCTCTCTCTATCTCTCTCGCTCACTCTGTCTGTCTCTCTCCTGGTGTTCGACACCCCTCGGTTACAAGGGCCCCCCTGTCGTTTGAGGAATGTGAGGAAGTGTCTCTCTCTCTCTCTCTCCCGATCTTCCGCTCTCTCAATCTCTCTACCAATCAAGCCATCGAGTCATCCATCCACCCGTCCCTCCACCCGTCCATGCATCCATCCATCCAGCAAGCAAGCAAGCAAGCAAGCAGCCAATCAACCAAACAACCACCAATCAACCCGTCAACCAATCAACTAATCAGCCAATCAGCCAATCAGCCAATCAGCCAACCAGCCAACCAGCCAATCAACCACTCAACCAACCAACCTGTCCATTTGTCTATCTATCCGTCGACGTCTGTAAACATGCGTACCCATCAGTACGTGCGTACCACCGTCAGCGCATGTGTGTATATATATATCCAAATATGTACTAGCACACTTGCCTGGCTACTTGCTTACCTACATACTTACATGTTTACATACTTGCTTACTTACTGACTAGCTATGCTACTTGTACACATAGCTGCTTACTGCCTATCTCCATTTGCTTGTGATAGTATTATAGTTTATAGTATTGTGAGTGTGTGCATGTATGCATGTATGCATGCCTGCATGCATACATGCGATCATATAATGTAATATCATATAGTATAGTATAGTATAGTATAGTATAGTACAGTATAGTACAGTACAGTACAGTACAGTATAGTGTAGCATCATATATCTCCCTCGCCTCAACTGGAGCCAGCTCGCCTTTGGCGAGCCTTTTGAGGATTCCCCTGGGCAACCAAGAAACATGTAGGACCCCTTTCAGGTTTAGGGTGTAAGGGTTTAGAGGTTAGGGTTTAGGGGTTTAGGGGTTCCCCTCCTTTAGGAAATTTTGATAGCAAGGATCTTCTGGCCCCCAGACACAGAAAGGGTTTGGGGCTTAGAGGTTTAAGGATTTTAGGGCTGCACGATACAGGTCAAAACCCACGGCGGTGTGGGCGAATTCGGGTTTGGAGGTTTATGCAGGTGTCAGACCTTGTAGGTTTCAAGATACGGGTGGTTGACAAAATTATGGTCCCTGTTTGGGTACCCTAAATAATAGGTGCCGTATTATAATAATGACCCAAAAAGGGACCCTAATTTTGACAACCATCCTTACGGAGCTTTGGAGGGCTTTCGGATAAACAAACCGACTCGGGCTCAGTGTTTGGGAAAGGTGGGGTTTCGGAGTTTAGGGCTTTGGGACTTTAGGGGCTCAGCCAAAATATCCAAAACCTTAGAACCAAACCCCAATGCCCGAGGTCCAAACACCAAAGCCTGATTTCTCAAAACCCTAAACATCCCAAAAAGCCCTAAACCCCAAAACCCCAAATCCTAAACCTAACCCCCTAAACCCAAGCCCTAAACCCCAATACCCTAAACCCTAAACCCCTAAACCCCTAAACCCAAGCCCTAAAACCCCAAAACCCTAAACCCCTAACCCCCTAAACCCAACCCCTAAAACCCCAAAACCCTAAACCCCAAAATCCTAACCCATAAACCCAAGCCCTAAACCCCAAAACCCTAAACCCTGCAGCCCTCCCCACAGCGAAGGGCTCCCCCACCCCGGCGGCGCGAGGCCCGTCCCGTTAGAGGAGATGTCCCGAAGACCAAGGCGGTACACCTGGGAAGTTGGGTTTAAGTTTTAGGGTTTAGGGTTTAGGGTGTAGGGTTTAGGGTTTAGGGGTTTAGGGGTTTAGGGGTTTAGGGTTTAAGGTTACGGTTTAGGGTTTTGGGGCTATAGGGGTTATAGGTTATAGGGTGTCTAGAGCTTAGGAAATTCGGTTTTTGTTTATAGGCTTTAGGATTTTGGGGGTTTGCTTGTTGGCTATAGCGTTTATAGTTTATAGAGTTTAGGATTGTAGGGCTTGTTTATAGGGTACAAGAATTTGGGGTTTAGGACTTGGGGTTTACAGGGTTTGGGGATTTTGGGTCTAGGGACTTGGGGCTTAGAGCTTAGGGTTTACGGATTTGGGGCCTGGGGGTGTAGAATCTTCGGGCTTACTGCTTGAGCTTCGGATCTTACAGAAATTGTTGTCCGGAGTTGTGGTGTTTTGGGCTGAGCTTGGTCGATCTAGTTCGGAGTGAGCTCAGCACCTGGGCAACGGAACTTGACCAATTCGTAAGCCTCTTGGTACTAGTAGTGCCATTGCTGTTGTTGCTGCTATGAGTATGAGCACGACCATGAGTAGAAATATGCGTATGAGTATGAGTGTGAGTATGAGTGCAAGGACGGGCATGAGCACGAGAAAGCTTATGAGCATGAGTCTAAGTATGAGTAGTACAAGTGCGAGTATGAGAATGAGAAGAGTGTGACGATGTTGATGGTACTGAGGAGACTCTTGCTGATGCTGACGATAGACATGGTGGTGATGGTGATGATCGTGGAAGCAGCCGTAGTTACCACGATTTTACGAGTACTAGTACTGTGCGGTCGCTAAGCTCAGCTACGAGGAGAAAAAGTGGGTTCCAGTGCCAGGCGGACGTGCTGATAGGCTGTTCGATAAACACAAGCGGGTTAGGGTTAAAGACCGAGAAGCCCAGCCTAATTGCCATAATACATACGTACAAACACATTCATGCGAGTGCTTCAGGTTTCAGGGGTCCGGGTGAAAAACACAAGTGGCCCGCTCATGTTACCTTGGAAGAACTGAGCGAAAACCCATGCCCCTGCGAAAACCCATGCCCCCGAAGTCCCAATATCGCGAACCTGAGCACTTTCAACGGGTTTCTGGGACGTATTAAAGTAGGGCATAACTATAGAAAGACCAGATAAGGACCGCGTTGCTACAGTAACAACTCAGACCCCTGCATTACACACTCAACCCCCGAGCCATACGGTTGGGCTGAGGTGCTGGCCTATATACAGCTGGGGTAAAGGGGCTAAGCCGTATACGGGCTGAGCCGTTAACCATGAAAAACCGCACAACTCCAAGCCTCACACCCTTCAACCTTGAAGCCCAAAACCCTAAAGCCCTTGAACCCTTACTCGAAACACACAAGAATTCTCAAAGCGAGGTCCTGACCTTCTTGCCCTCCTCTGACTCCTGCGCTTCCAGTGCGCTGCACTGTTTCGGGCTTCGGTTTTAGGCCTGAAAGTTCAAGATTTGGGGCCCTGGGTCCCTGGGTTGCGGAGTTGGGTCTTGGTATTATTGTATTATGTATAGTACTATAGTATTATTATAGGATTATTACTATAATAGTATTTATAGTATTATAGGCGTTTCTGCTGTGCCCTTCTTGCAGGGACCCCGGGCTTGTCAGGAGGAGTCTCTAGGTATCTGTCCTGCGAGGTCCTGCTTTGTAGCTCCTTCGGAAAAGGGGCCTCCGGGTCACACGAAACTCCGGCCTCAGGTGGGGGGCCTGAGCTTGGGGTTTAAGTTTTAGGGTTGAGGGTTTAGGGCTTGGGGTTTAGGGTTTAGGGGTTTAGGGTTCAGGGTTTAGGGTTTGGGCTTGGTGTTTAGGGGTTTAGGAGTGACGATAGAATGAACTTGCAGAAGCGAACTTGCTCGCAGCGCAATGCCGTCCTGCTCCGCAGGTATGAGCCTGGCGCGGCTAAAAAGGTTTCAAAATGTAGGTAGCCTTGGCCCTCTGTGGGAGTTTCCGAAAATAGGGGACCCTAATATAGTACCCTAAATAGTAGGATCGTTATTATAAGGACGCCGAAATAAGGTACCCCGCATTTTCGGAAACCCCGGTATAGCCTGGACAACCTAGACATTGTCAGGCAAGAAAGGCCAACTTAGTTGTGCGGGGCGCTGGGTTGAGGCTTAGGTTTGAGGGTTTAGGGTTTCGTAAATTCAGTATCATTGATCCGGCCAACAGGAGGAGTATCGACTTTCGGAGACTGCAACTACGACGCAGCACAGTCGCAGAATACCAGCTGAAGAAGAGACAGCCAAAACACTGCTGGAGCTATTGCGGCCCGCCAATTTTAATGCAATAGCTGACGAGAGATCAGAAAGGTTCCGGCACCAGAGCAGAATCGTCACAACTATTAGGCAGTCCGCTTTGGAGTTTAATATCCAACATTATCCAACAACAATGCAGGGACGGTGAAGGAACAAGTTGGCAAAAAAGTCAGAGCTTCCATCCGAGCTTGCACGATCCAAAGATCATAAACAAAGCCCCGAAACCCTAAACCCGTTACAGTAACCCCCCCATAACTTGCAACAACCGTTATGGTAAACCTTGTGGCAACCTTTATAATAATAATAATAATAGTAATAACCCTCAAACCCCAAGCCCCTCAAGGCTGCAAAACTCTAAACATCGAAAGAAATTTTGCCCGCAGGACTCAAAGGCCAAGTGCTTGTTGGAGATGCCCAGCGGCTGGAACACTACCTCAGGAAGAGGGTTTAGGCCTCTTCGGAGCCCTGAACCCACTAACCCCAAACCCTAAGCCATGAATGCCAAACTTTTCCATGCCTTACTTTACTAAACCGTCACTACAACATGACGGGAGTGAGCCATTGTTTCCAAATAATGAAGCCAAGCGGCATCGTTCTTGACCTGGCACGAGGTTCGGCAACTCACACACACACCCCTACCCCAAGCCCGAAGCTAAACTGAAACCCCAAAGTCAAACCATCACCGGCAGATGCCGGCACTTCTTTGTGCAACGAAAACGGTTGGTTCGCAAAATCAAACCCTCAGCCAAGAAGTCGATGTTCCGGCAACATGTAGCGTAGCATGGGGGGGCTGTTAAAGCATACTGCGAGGAGCTTGCTGTTCCTATGCTAAGGCCGGTACCACCATTGTCACGTGTCTGACTATACACCTCCACGATAAGCAACACGAGCCGGTTTATGGGCTTCGTGCAAGCCGAGAGCAGCGATCATGCACACTCAACAGAGGCCAGGCTCTTGAAACTCTCAACTTCATCTAATTTCCTGCCTTCTAATCTAACGGTTTGGGGCTCAATTTTTAGGGTTGGCTTGCCTACCTGAGTCTGTCGAGCTCTGAGACTTCAGACTCGGAACTCGGCGGGCCGTTTAACTTGACAACTGGACGAGCATGAGTAGAAACCTCCCAACCGTCGAACTTTAATTCAAACCTCTCGAACTTTCACAGAGCCACGGAAGGTTGACACCGAACTCTCATACAGTGGAACCTTGAACCTCACAACCTTTGAACTTTTAAATCACTCGACCTCAGCGGCGAGCCACGAAGCGAACTGACGACAGTTCTTCGAACTTCAAGGATGGGTTTAGGGTTTGGGGTTCAGGGTTTATGCTGTAGGGGCTCGCTTCTCTGCGCGTACAAACGTGAACCTTCGAATTTCGCCACCTGCCAACCTGTCCAGAGGTTCGCAAACTGAAACTCTCAAAACTTCAAGCCATTGAAAGTGTGCAACTCTCAAACCTTCGGGCTTGCGTTCTCAAATTCGGGTGTGTTCGCAACTGGGCCACTAAACCCTAGCCACTAACCCGACTCACAAAGCCCTAAACCCCAAAACTTAAACCGCAAAACGCACACCCTGAACCTAAAGCCTCAGGATAGAAAGCGCTGAGGCGCAGGCATAGCGACCCGCAGTGACACCCTCCGTTCCACCCGCTGGCAGCTGGAAAGCCTTTGAGCTTCCGGCGAGCTCCTTCGACGGGAAACCTTATAAAGGTTTGAGGTTTAGGGTTTAGGCTTAGGGCTGCAGGGTTTGGAGTTGAGGGTTTGGGGCTTCACAGTTTAAGCTTTGGGGCGTAGGGTTTAGGGCTTAAGGGTTTAAGGCTTAGGTTTAGGGTTTTAAGTATGGGGCGCTAGAACGATGGGGCTTATAAGGCTTGAAAGGTCTTATGAGGCTTTCACTCGGGTTGTACAAGGGTCTTATGAAGGGTTGAAACGGTTTGATCTGGGTTTGAAAATAGTTTTATAAGGTGCTGCAAGGATTTTATGAGGATCTTAGACATGTCGTTGATTCCTCTTGCAAGGCTTTTATAAGGGCTAGACAGCGGTTGCTAAGATAGTTGGCTTGGGAAATCCCGAGTATGACTCCTACTATGGGTAACATCCCTACTGAATCCCCGTTTGCTGCAGCCCGTCTTTGGCTTCGTATGGTCCTGTCACGGCTATGGTCAAAGGTCCACATGCACACTTCTAAACCTTACACCTGACAGACGTAGACAAAAGCTGTGCTGCTTCACAATTGAACAACGGAACCATTCGCTTTCTCTGAATATAAAGGGCCCCTAACAACGATGATGATGGGAAACAACCCAGATACGCGTGACACAGGGGCCCAACACCAAAGTCTGAACCCAATTCCAGGAATTCCAAAGAACTCCAAACCCGCGGTCCTAAGCCTAAAACTGATGACCCTGATGCAGTCCGACGCCCTGAAATCAATAAACAGTTCCAAACCAGCAAAAACTTAGATCCCAAAACGCTAAACTCCTAACTTAACCCTTTGACCGAGATCCCGAACTTTTCCCGGCCCCTACAGTAAGCCCCGACGCCCTAAACCGCCGGTACGGAATGGCTCGCCTGGCTAGCGAAAAGCAGAGAGAACTTGACACCGTCATAGTCCTCCTCCTGCCCCGAAGGATTTAGGATTTCAGGGGGTGCCAGGGGCCTCCAGCGAGCAGAATTCAAGGACCTGTGGGTCTAGCGCATCGGGCCTTAAGAGCTGGCAACAGTGCAGATGGAGAAACCCATGATAATAGGCAGAAGCCTTCCGTCTCAGAGCATGTCAGCCTATGTTTGTAGGGTTGAGGAAACTTTAGGGTTTAGGGTTCTGGATTTAGGGTAGAGCTGGTGAAGGACAAACCGGCAGCCCTGCCTAATCTGAAACTATATCAACCTTGCACCCTGGGCCCGCAAAAGCCCCTTAAGCCTAAACCCGCAAAAGCCCTAAGACCCTGAACTATGAAACCCGAAACCGAAACCCTAAATCCCACGCCATCTTCAGCTCCTGCTCTTCCTGCTCAGGTTCGGACTCTGCGGCTACGCTCGTTTTCACCTCAAAGAGGAGGGCTTTGGATTCAGGGGCTTAAGGCTTAAGGTTAAAGGCTTTACGATGTAGGCCTTAGGGCTCAGCGGGTCTAGGATGTAGAGCTTAGGGCTTAAAGGTTTGAGGCTAAGGCTTATTGGGTTTAGGATGCAGGGCTTGGGGTCTAGGGCTTCTGGTTCAAGGTTGAAGGTCAGAGAGTTTAGGATGTCGAGCTCAGGGCGCCGGGTTACGGCAACAAGGACCCTAAGCCCAGAAACTCCAAACGCTCTAAGTTGGAAATTCCTGGTGTACTTACGATGGGGGGGTGATGCACAGATGTGGGAAGCCAACAGGGGAGCTCTGCTACCAGAACTACCCAGGGTTCAAAGAAGAAGCGGAAAGATCTGTACAAATAAACAAATACATTCTAAAATAATTACAAACATATCGCATATCTGTCTATAAACCAAACTATCTATCGACTATCTACGTATCTATCTATCTACCTATCTATCTAACTGTGTATCCATCAAATTACAGAAAGAATGGCAACAAAGAACAAATCAACAAAAAACAAACAATTGCACAAACAGGTAAACATGTACATATTCGGGCAGGTAAGCAATAAATGTGTATGTGTATATATATATATATGTATGTATGTGTATATATATATATATATATGTATGTGTATATATATATATATATATATATATATCCGTATGTATACATATACATATACATATACATATACATATACATATACATATATTTATATACATATACATATACATATACATATACATATACATATACATATACATACAGTGCTTAAAGCAAGCGCAACATATGCAGTTGTCGAGGGAGTAAGAGGCAGGCTCATGATGGGTTACGGACCCTCTCCCGCAGAGGAAGCAGCACAATGTGGCAAGCTCGTGCCGTGAACTTTAGGGTTTGGGGTTTAGGTTAGGGTTTAGCTCCAAACCCTACAACCTCAATCAAACCGTGACCTAGTTGAGAACAACCTCAGCCCGAAAAATCCGCGGTTCGGGGCCTCCTCTTCGTCGTCCTCCTCCACATCCGTCTTCTCCATGGGTGGATCCTCCTCTGCCACCTCTGCCTCTTCTGCCTTGCAAGGTAGGAAGGCTTTTATGAGGAAAAGCCACGGAATGCCACGCTTCAACCATAGCAAACGCAGTCCCATCTCTTAAACGGAATGATATTATAGCATCCTAGTGCTCAGAGAGCAGCTAGTGAGTCTGAGTGCAGTAGTCGTCGGCATCTCTGTCGGCATCGCAACGGACGCCTTAACCGTTAAGCCCCAAAACCCTAAACCCCAAACACCGAAACCTCCAAACCCCCTAACCTAAACCCCACCCCCTACACCTAAACCCCTAACCCCTCAACCCTAGACCCTAAACACCTCACCTCTACTTAAAGGATCATGGGACTTAGTAACTATGGTTATAGTTAGGGTAACTATACTTATAACCTCTATTAAGGTACTTATAGCCTTACTTACTAAGTCCCATGATCCTGCAAGTAGACCCCTAAGCCCGGTGCCTTCTTCTCTTCTTCCGGCTCGGCGGCAGTCTCGGTCTCGGCCTTCTTCTCCGGCTCCTCTGCGCCCCGGGAGCCCAATACTTGGAGGGTCGGGGGACTTAGCAACTGGTTATTTTAAGGACGTATAAGTACCATAACCCCAATTAGGGTCCCTTAGGGTACTTATAAGTCTACTTACTACCTACTTACTCAGTCCCCCGACCCTCCAAGTACCCATTAGTCAAGGAATGTGCCTGAACGTCTGACATTTACGGAGTCTTTATGGGGGGGTTCTACATCCCTTACAAGGAAGATGGCCCTAAATGATATTATAGGGTCCGAGTACTATGGTTTGAAGTAGATTGCGTGATAATGGGTATTGGGATTCTTTGCAGAGGTGTTGAAACATCTTGCGACTGGTGGGGTGGAGGCTTGAAGCAGCAAGGAACAACTGGGAGTTGTTCAGACCTTTGGGGTTGAGACATCTGTATACATCGAGGGGGGGTGAGGAACTTAGGGTCCAGGGATTTGTGAGGTAGGAGTCTCGGAAGCTAGGGGTTCAGGGGTTTAGGCGTTCAGAATTTCTGGGTTTGCGGCTTCGGGGTTTAGGGTGTCTTCAGGGTGTTGGGCTTTAGGGCCGCGGGTTTCGGGTCTTGGATTCCAGTGGAAGGTTCACGGCTTGTGCCCAGGCGATGACAAACGGCATAGGATAGCATGTTGCCTCAGGGTTTCGGGAACACTGCATGGAAAGACTGATAACGATTGTTGTGATCTTTTCACATGGCCATCTCAGGGTATCTACTGCAGTAAGCCTGAACCCAAAATCTCAACTCCTAGCCCGAAATTCCAAATTACATGCCTTATCATAACCCCCAACCCTAAACCCCAAACTATATCCCGTATCATAACCCAGAAAACCCAAACTACATTCTTTATCCATCCACCCGAAAGCTTCCATCCTCCTCCTCTTCTTCCGGCTCGGACCCTGCAGCTACGCTGGTCTTCGCCTGCTGAGTCGTCCGGTCCCAATCAGCCCAGCCTACGACTCTGCCTAAGATTAACAATGAAGGGGGCTCCTTCAAGGGATCTACAGGGGTACTTGAAGGGCTCCAAGGCTTTATGTTAGTCATCATGTTCGTCATCATAAGAATTATAAGAAGTATCATCTGCGCTGGCCGTACTCGAGGTCGCGGTCGTGGCCGTGGCTGTCGTCGTCGTAGGTTTTTTGTAGAAGTAGAAGCAGCAGTGGCAAGGGGAGTGCTTGAAGAGCTACGGATTGGAGTGGATCTTTTGTGGTACTCCACAAGTTTTCAAGATTAGGACAGGATTTCACTTTGTTAGGGCTTCACAAGGGTTACAAAGAGTATGACAGGGTCTTTGTCAGGGTTGGTCTACATGCAGGAAGTGTATTTCGTATTTTAACCCCAGCTTCATCGTGCCGTCAGCATGCGTGGTACAGACTTGTAAACAAGTATGCGGGGTTGCTCTGAATCATGGTCCCTATTGCAAACCTCGCCACAACAAGACAATGTGAATCTGTACGATGAGCCAATGTGTGCATCTGCAGAGTTTGGACGGGTGCCGGATTTGTAGAAGAAGTCGCCCTGGGCGTATAATCGTGGGAAGCACTCTCAAATAACCTTCAATCTGAAATTCTCCCAGGCCAATTGCAGAAGAAACTCTCCAAGGCCCAGAAGTGAATCCTCATGTTCGTGACAGAAATCCTGCACCTTGAAACTTGTAGCGGTAGCAAGAAGAATGGGACCATGAGATCTAAACAAGCCCTGGCTGAAAGCCTCCTCCTCATCATCCGATTTCGCAGGATCCTCCTTCACTTGAGGGTTCGGGACTTTTTTCTGTGTTTCAGGTCTAGGATTTGCGACGGAAACTTGGTTCAGGGGTTTCGGAGTTTGGGTATGGAGAGGCCAAAGCTGGAAATTCCTCGGCTTGAGCTCCTGCATGGCTTGCAGGATCTTACGATAACGACTTGCTTGCTGGGAGAAGGACAACAATGCCTGGTGGCTAGCAGCAAATGGCCACGATGTTCATGACACCAACAAGGCTACCGGCAGCAGAGACTACCACTGCCAATCGAGCTAACACAAACCACAGGGACTATTAGGGTTTAGGGGTTTAGGGTTTAGGGTTTAGGGTATAGGGGTTTAGGGTTTTTTTTTGGGGTGGGTTTAGGGGTTTAGGGTTTAGGGGTTTAGGGTTTAGGGTTAGACTAATGGAAACCAGAACAGGGTTCGTCTCCAGGCTGAAAGCAGTGAACCCGAACATCTTCTAAAAACGAAACCCAAATGCTTAATCCCCAAACCCCAAACCCTGCACCACCAAGTCTCAAACCTTAAACCCCCAAAGCCACCGCCTTCTTCTCCTCCTCTGCCTCTTGCTCAGCTTCTGCCGGCTTTGCAGGTGCCTTTCGTTGGGGCGGTTTCGAGTTTCGGACTGGGTTTGGGGCGCAGACCTTCACTGTGCCAGACCTCAGGATTGGTCTGCAGCAACAACACCAACAACTTAGGTACGGCCCCCTTACCGTAAGAGTCCATAATAGGGCTACTAATAAGGTCCTAATATATCTATATTATAATATGATTCAACTATTACTGAGTGGGGGCCGTACCCAACCAACAACTGTCAGGACGATGACGGCTATGGATTTCGGCACTACGCGCTAGCCGAAGACTCCACGAGACTGCCAATAGTTGTCGTAGTCGCAGTAATACGAGGAGCGGCGATGGCATTGATCAACCACAAAGAAGTAGCCATAACACTCGCAAAGATAAAAAAAACAACTATCACTAACCATATCAACCATAACAATGGTAATAACACTACTCATAATACTAGTAGTAATTATACAATAAGTAAGAATGCCAATAAGAATCAGTAGTAGACAACAAGCGTAGTTTTTCAACATAGCAGTAACAACAGCACGAAAACAATAGTAATAATACTAGTAATAATAATGGCAATAACAGCAATAATAACAACAAGCATATCAAAAACAATAACAACAACAATAACAACAAAAATAATTGTCAGTGCTACTGTTGTTTTTAATTGTCTTGTCCGATACGAACAATCGTAAGTAATTAGTACAATGGCATACAATGGCCATAGTACCGTGACAACTCCTCAATCGCTTGAAGCAAGGCTTCACGCTGCCGAGCCGCGGAGCTGTCAGATGACGACTTGCGTTGGCGCCTTTTTAAGCCAGTTCATTTGTCTAGTTTTTGTCGGGTTTAGTGTTAAAGGTTTAAGGAGTTTAGGCCTTAGGGTTTAGGGTTCAATATTCTGGTGTTTAGGGTTTAGCGCTCGGGTAGAGGGCTTAGAGTCTAGTGTTCAGCGTTTCGCGTTCTGGGTATAGGGTGTTCGGACACTTCATGACCCAGAGTGGCTCAAAGAAAAATCCTCCTGCACGGGTCGTCCAATTGATGGGATCCTACGGTTTGGGGCTTCGGGTCTTTATGCTGTCAAGGGCTAGGCGGGGTTCATCAACCAGGGACCCGACACTCTGGGCCCTCAACTAAAAGCTCCTCCAGAAACATCCAGAAATACTTCGACGGAGGCTCGCTTCAGGAATTGAGATGCTAAGCCCGAAACCACAAGGATTCGGCATTTCACAGGTCCACAGAACCGGAACCAGAGATAAGGGGTATCGACGCGTTAAGCTGCATCCCAAATCCCGCACCCTGAACCTCCTACTTAAAGCCTAATCCCTAAACCCTAAACCCTAATCCCTAAACCCTAAACCCCTAAACCCCTAAACCCCAAGCCCAAAACCCTGAAGACCGGGTTTGCGCTGAGACCGCCACTTCTTGCTCTTAGATCGGTCCCGGTCGGACTGCACAGAGGCGGTGTATCAGGCTCGAGGCAGAATTCCAACAGGTTTGGGTTCATATACATATACATGTTGTATATATATATATATATATATGTCTATAGATGTATATAGATATACATATACACATGTGTGTGCGCACTCTCTCCATATATATATATATATACATATACATATACATATACATATACATATACATATACATATACATATACATATACATATACATATACATATACATATACATATACATATACATATACATATACATATACATATACATATACATATACATATACATGTACATACAGATGTACTACATATATGAATGCATGCATACATACATATATGTTTATATGTATATACATATATATATATATATAGATATATATATATATGTGGCAGGAACCTTTACGTATAATGTGACATGTCCCTTGTGCTATATTACAGGAAGGGCTCACGCGAGAGTATACAGTACGCACCCACACACACGCACACACACACAGACACACACACACACACTGGCAAATATCCTCGCATGATTGCCCACATACCATGCTCAAGGAGAACATGTACTGGTTGTGGCGCTCAGTCAGTGGCTGGAAAGCCTTCCATCAGGACGACAGCATTTTGCACGCTTGATTCGGAACACATTGCTTGGGATCAGCATTTGCGCATGCCCTAACATGTAACACATAGAACTTCATAGAACCATGTTACGCACAGCAGACCGGGCGAGAACTGTGCGGAGACTATGTGCTTCCTGTGATGTGCAGCCAGGGGCTACAGAACGTTCAACAAGGAGGAAAACCAACTCTGATTATGGTAGCTCGCTGCGCAGCACCGTGCTTGCGCTTAGAATAAGCCGGATGTATCCACATTATTCGTGGACTGTGATGTTCAGTCGGTGGCTACACAATGATGACAGAGCTCCCCTAGCTTCCAAGAAGGCAAGTCCTTTACCCCATCCTCGACAAAAAGAAACCAAGAGCTTCGTCCAAGTTCATGAGACAGCAAAGAGCTCCATCTCACAAAAGCAGACAGGCCCTGCCAAACCATCGAGAAAGAAGAGAGCTCCATCTCACAAAAGCAGACAGGCCCTGCCAAACTATCGAGAAAGAAGAGAGCTCCGTTTGCCGCTCAGTCGGCAAGAAGAGACCTCCTTTCTGTCTAGAGTCTAGATAAGGGAGAGATCGAGATCCTGACTATCCCGTTTACTTATTCAAAAGAAAAACGGAAGAGAGCATACGTTCAAGACAGGGCGGAATGGCCCCCAAGCTCAAAAAGAGACATCTGGTTCTCCCCCAGCTTTCAAAATCAAAAGGTAAGTCCCCCCCCTCATGTTTCAAAGCAAGAAAAGATTTCCCTCCAACCCACCTTGTAAGAGACTTGCTGTCTACAAGAACTCTTTGACCTCTTGGTAAATCTCCGTCTCCTCTGAAGCGAACTGAAGGGAGCTCGCTCCCAGCAAAACAAGACAAAGCCCCTCCAGTCTCAAACACGAACCTAGCTCCTCTACCTCGTCATGGGCAAAGCTTTCTCTATGCGTAAAAGAAGAGATCTGCCGGAAGGTCTTCCACTGCAGCATCTCAAAGAAGCAGAGAGCCCATTCCAACTTCACGAGAAAGTAAAGAGCTCCGGCTGCCTTTTTAATCGACAATAAGAGAGAGAAGAGTTCGACGTCCCATGTTCCTTCCTTCAAGAGATAGAAGAAAGGTAATTTTCAAAAAGTGAGCACAGAGCTCCCTTGACCTTTGTAAGAAGAGTCCGGTCCTCCTCTCAATGTTCAACACAAAACGAGCAGCCCTCTACCTCGTCCTCTGGAACAAGGAAAGAGCCCAGCTGGTCTTGGCAACAGAAGATTTTCTTCTAGAAGAGACTTCCTGAACCTGTTGCTAAGTTTTCATTTTATCTGAAGAGGAATGAACGGCTCCCACTCCTAGCACGAGAGGACAGAGCTCCCCAAGCCTACAAAAGAAGAAGAGAGCCTCCTCCAAGTTCATGAGAAAGAAGAGAGCTCCATCTCACAAAAGCAGACAGGCCCTGCCAAACTATCTAGAGAGAAGAGAGCTCTGTTTACCCCTCAGTCGGCAAGAAACCCCCTCCTTTCTCTCTAGCAAAGGGAAAGATCGAGATCCTGACTACTCCGCTTACTTTTCAAACGAAAGACGGAAGAGAACATACGCTCAAGAAAGGGTGGAGCTCTTCCCAGGCTTCAATGGCTTCAAAAAAGGAAATCTCGTCCTCCCCCCAGCCTTCGAAACGGAAAGGTAAGTCTCCCCACCTCATGCTCCAAAGCAAGAAGAAAGTGTTCGATTCAAGAAGATTGAAAAGATTTCGCTCCTGGCGCGGGAGGACAAAGCTGCCCTAGCTTCCAACAAGAAAAGTCCTCACCTCATCCTCGACAAGAGGTCACTGCGAGCTTCCTCCAATTTGTTGAGACATAAGGGAGCTCCATCGTAAAAAGACAGACAGGCCCCTCCAAAGCATCGAGAAAGAAGAGAGCTGCGTTTAACCCTCAGCCGCCAAGAAGAGACCTCCTCTCTTGGTAAGGGAAAAGGATCTTGATTGCCCACTTGGTTTCTTCAAAAGATGGAGGAGGGCATGCGCTGAAGAGAGGGTGGAGCTCCCTTCAACCTGCAAACAAGGTAGCTTGGTCCGCCCCTCAATCTTCAAAAAGAAAGAGAGAACTCCTCCATCTCATGCTTTGAAACAGGAAGAGCGACCCGACAAGTTATTCGTGGCAAGAGAAGAGAGCTCCATTAGCTCTTGGAAGTCGCCTCTCAGTCCTCGCTCCCAGCAAGAGAGGACAGAGCCCCCCCCCGCTTTAAAAAACAATGTATTATTTCTCTACCTTATCATCGAAAACAAGAAGAAAGCTCCCTCCAATTTCGCCTCCTAACAACTCAAACGAGAGGCCATTCTAACTTCTCGAGAAGGAAGACAGCTTTGCTTGCCTCTCTGTCGACAAGAAGAAAACTCTTTCTCTCTTAGTCAGGGGCGAGAGCTCCTCTTCCCCCCTCCTCCGCTTCAAGACATGGAGAGAGCTTACAATCAAGAAAAAAGGATGGAGCTCTTCCCAACTTCAAAAAACTTGACAAGAGAAGTGTGGTCCTCCCCGGGGCCTCAAAAGGAGATGAGAAGCCCTGTACCCCATCCTCTGGAAACCGGAAGATAGCTCACTCCAAGTTATTCTTAGTACGAGATGAGAGCCTCTGTCTAGAGAGCTCCTTGACCTCTTGGTAAGTCTTCATCTTAATCTTAAGAAGACTGAAGACAGCTCGCTCCTGGTCCTAGTAAATATGGACAGGGCTCGCCCAGTCTTCCACAAGAACTTATAAGTTCTCTACCTCATCCTGTACCAGAAGAGAGCTTCCTCCAACATAAACAGAAAGAAGAGGGCCCCATCTCAAAATAGCAGATAGGGCCCGCGAACTTCACGAGGAAGAAGATTTTTCTAGAAGAGACCTCCCTAACCTTTTTGGTAAGCCGTCATTGTCTTTGAAGAAGACTGAAGGGCTCCCACTCCTAGCACGAAAGGATAGAGCTCCCCCAGCCTACAACAAGAAGAAGAGAGGGTCCTCCAAGTTCACGAGAAAGAGGAGAGCTCCAAATCTAAAATACAGACAGACCCCGCCAAACCATCGAGAAAGAAGAGAGCTCCATCTCACAAAAGCAGACAAGCCCTGCCAAACTATCGAGAAAGAAGAGAGCTCCGTTTGCCGCTCAGTCGGCAAGAAGAGACCTCCTTTCAGACTAGAAGGGAGAGATCGAGATCCTGACTATCCCGTTTGCTTATTCAAAAGAAAAACGGAAGAGAGCATACGTTCAAGACAGGGCGGAATGGCCCCCAAGCTCAAAAAGAGACATCTGGTTCTCCCCCAGCCTTCAAAATCAAAAGGTAAGTCCCCCCCTCATGTTTCAAAGCAAGAAAAGATTTCCCTCCAACCTACCTTGTAAGAGACTTGCTGTCTACAAGAACTCTTTGACCTCTTGGTAAATCTCCGTCTCCTCTGAAGCGAACTGAAGGGAGCTCGCTCCTAGCAAAACAAGACAAAGCCCCTCCAGTCTCAAACACGAACCTGGCTCCTCTACCTCGTCATGGGCAAAGCTTTCTCTATGCGTAAAAGAAGAGATCTGCCGGAAGGTCTTCCACCGCAGCATCTCAAAGAAGCAGAGAGCTCCATTAGCTCTTGGAAGTCGCCTCTCAGTCCTCGCTCCCAGCAAGAGACGACAGAGGCCCCCCCCGCTTTTAAAAACAATGTATTATTTCTCTACCTTATCATCGAAAACAAGAAGAAAGCTCCCTCCAATTTCGCCTCCTAACAACTCAAACGAGAGGCAATTCTAACTTCTCGAGAAGGAAGAGAGCTTTGCTTGCCTCTCTGTCGACAAGAAGAAAACTCTTTTCTCTCTTAGTCAGGGGCGAGAGCTCCTCTCCCCTCCTCCTCCGCTTCAAGACATGGAGAGAGCTTACAATCAAGAAAAAGGATGGAGCTCTTCCCAACTTCAAAAAACTTGACAAGAGAAGTGTGGTCCTCCCCGGGGCCTCAAAAGGAGATGAGAAGCCCTGTACCTCATCCTCTGGAAACCGGAAGATAGCTCACTCCAAGTTATTCTTAGTACGAGATGAGAGCCTCTGTCTAGAGAGCTCCTTGACCTCTTGGTAAGTCTTCATCTTAATCTTAAGAAGACTGAAGACAGCTCGCTCCTGGTCCTAGTAAATATGGACAGGGCTCGCCCAGTCTTCCACAAGAACTTATAAGTTCTCTACCTCATCCTGTACCAGAAGAGAGCTTCCTCCAACATAAACAGAAAGAAGAGGGCCCCATCTCAAAATAGCAGATAGGGCCCGCGAACTTCACGAGGAAGAAGATTTTTCTAGAAGAGACCTCCCTAACCTTTTTGGTAAGCCGTCATTGTCTTTGAAGAAGACTGAAGGGCTCCCACTCCTAGCACGAAAGGATAGAGCTCCCCCGCCTACAACAAGAAGAAGAGAGGGTCCTCCAAGTGGGAAGAAGACTATCTCCTCTTGCTCTTCAAACAAAAAATGGAAGGGAGCGTACGCTTCAAGAAGAAGGGATGAAGCTCCCCAGACCTTAATGGAGAACAAAGCGGTTCAATAGAACCGAATTTTCTTATGGAAACCTTCCGGAAAACTCGGTGCTATCGAACCGCTGTGTTCAGGTCTGGAAAACCCAACCGTTCGATAGCGCAGATTTTCCTAAGGGAAACCATCTAGAAAATTTGGTGCTATTGAACCGCCCTTTACTGTCCTCATTGTCGGAAAACGCAGCGCTTCGATAGCACCAGGCTTGTGAAGGAAACTCTCCGGAAAATGCAGCCGTGCAATACGGCAACGGTGCGTGAAATGAATCACAACTTTCTGTTATTTCCTCGTCAACCGACAAGATTGAGGGAATTCATAAAAGGAAAACAGAGGGATTTTTTGTACAGCTGAGGGATTATGTAAAGGGAAAATCAATGACGGTTTAGGGAAACCGTAAGGGAAATCGACGACCCTTTAAGGGAAACCAGGGGAATTTTGATTGGATAACAAGGAAGCCAGCCAAACTCGAAAGGGAATCGGAAGGGAAATCCGAAAAGCACAAAGTAAAAATACGGTTTTCAGAAACGAACAAATAAGGGTAATTTCCCTTTAATTCGGCCTGAACCGGCGTCACAGGCCTGTACGAGTGTCAACGCTTGGCAAGGGCAGCAGGGAGGAGGCAGGGCAGGGGCAAGAGGGCAGAGGCAGTGAAGGGGGGGGGGGTAGGGGCAGCAGGGGCAGGGGCAGGGGCAGGGGGAGGGGGAGGGGCAGGGGCAGGGGCAGGGCAGAGGTGCAGCGGCAGGGACAGGGGGCTGCGCACGCCGGCAGGGAAGGGGCGCAAAGGCAGGGAGCAGGGCAGGGTAGGGGCAGGGAACAGGGGCGGGGCAGGAGGGGCAGGGGGTCAGGCAGGTCGTTTCGAAACTTTCAAAACTTTTAGAACTTTTGAAACTATTGAAACTATTGAAACCCTGCCCACCCTCATCCCGTACCTGTTGCAACTTTTAAAACTTTTGAAACTATTGAAACTTTTGAAACTATTGAATCCCAGCCCACCCTCATCCCGTACCTTTTGAAACTTTTAAAACTTTTGAAACTATTGAAACTATTGAAACCCTACCCTCCCTCTTTTGAAAGTTTTAATAGTTTCAATAGTTTCAAAAGTTTTGAAAGGTACGGGATGAGGGTGGGCCGGGTTTCAAAACTTTCAATAGTTCTCGGGCGGGCTGCTTGTTGAAACTTCTAAAACTTTTGAAACTATTGAAACTATTGAAACTATTGAAACTTTTGAAACCCAGCCCACCCTCATCCCGTACCTTTTGAAACTTTTAAAACTTTTGAAACTATTGAAACTATTGAAACTTTTGAAACTATTGAAACCCTACCCTCCCTCTTTTGAAAGTTTTAATAGTTTCAATAGTTTCAATAGTTTCAAAAGTTTTGAAAGGTACGGGATGAGGGTGGGCCGGGTTTCAAAACTTTCAATAGTTCTCGGGCGGGCTGCTTTTTGAAACTTCTAAAACTTTTGAAACTATTGAAACTTTTGAAACTATTGAAACTTCTGAAACCCAGCCCACCCTCATCCCGTACCTTTTGAAACTTTTAAAACTTTTGAAACTATTGATACTTTTGAAACTATTGAAACCCTACCCTCCCTCTTTTGAAACCCAGCCCACCCTCATCCCGTACCTTTTGAAACTTTTAAAACTTTTGAAACTATTGAAACTTTTGAAACTTTTGAAACTATTGAAACCTTACCCTCCTCTTTTGAAAGTTTTAATAGTTTCAATAGTTTCAAAAGTTTCAAAAGTTTTGAAAGGTCCGGGATGAGGGTGGGCCGGGTTCCAAAACTTTCAATAATTCTCTGGCGGGCTGCCTTTTGAATCTTCTAAAACTATTGAAACTATTGAAACTTTTGAAATTATTGAAACTATTGAAACCCAGCCCACCCTCATCCCGTACCTTTTGAAACTTTTAAAACTTTTGAAACTATTGATACTTTTGAAACTATTGAAACCCTACCCTCCCTCTTTTGAAACCCAGCCCACCCTCATCCCGTACCTTTTGAAACTTTTCAAACTTTTGAAACTATTGAAACTTTTGAAACTATTGAAACCCTGCCCTCCTCTTTTGAAACCCAGCCCACCCTCATCCCGTACCTTTTGAAACTTTTCAAACTTTTGAAACTATTGATACTTTTGAAACTATTGAAACCCTGCCCTCCCTCTTTTGAAAGTTTTAACAGTTTCAATAGTTTCAATAGTTTCAAAAGTTTTGAAAGTTACGGGATGAGGGTTGGCCGGGTTTCAACACTTTCAATAGTTCTCGGGCGGGCTGCCTTTTGAAACTTCTAAAACTATTGAAACTATTGAAACTTTTGAAACTATTGAAACCCTGCCCTCCCTCTTGTGAAAGTTTTAATAGTTTCAATAGTTTCAATAGTTTCAAAAGTTTTGAATGGTATGGGATGAGGGTGGGCAGGCTTTCAAAACTTTCAATAGTTCTCGGGCGGGCTGCCTTTTGAAACTTCTAAAACTTTTGAAACTATTGAAACTTTTGTAATACTGTAACATTTGAAACTATTGAAACCCTGCCCTCCCTCTTTTTAAACCCTGCCCTCCCTCTTTTGAAAGTTTTAATAGTTTCAATAGTTGCAATAGTTTCAAAAGTTTTGAAAGGTACGGGATGAGGGTGGGCCGGGTTTTCAAAACTTTCAATAGTTCTCGGGCGGGCTAAAACTTTTGAAACTATTGAAACTTTTGAAACTATTGAAACCCTGCCCTCCCTCTTTTGAAAGTTTTAATAGTTTCAAGTTTCAATAGTTTCAAAAGTTTTGAAAGGTACGGGATGAGGGTGGGCCGGGTTCCAAAACTTTCAATAATTCTCTGGCGGGCTGCCTTTTGAAACTTCTGAAACTTTTGAAACTATTGAAACTTTTGAAACTATTGAAACCCTGCCCTCCCTCTTTTGAAACCCAGCCCACCCTCATCCCGTACCTTTTGAAACTTTTCAAACTTTTGAAACTATTGAAACTTTTGAAACTATTGAAACCCTGCCCGCCCTCTTTTGAAAGTGTTAATAGTTTCAATAGTTTCAATAGTTTCAAAAGTTTTGAAAGGTACGGGATGAGGGTGGGCCGGGTTTCAACACTTTCAATAGTTCTCGGGTTGAGGCCGAACTTGCAAAACTATTGAAACTATTGAAACTTCTGAAACTATTGAAACCCTGCCCTCAAGAAAGAGAAGCGTCACATAATACATAAAGGTTTCTCTTACATATATATATATATATATATGTGTGTGTGTGTGCGCGTGTGCTCTCTTCATATATGCCGATAGATAGATAGATAAATAGATAGATCGATCGATCGATAAATAGATCGGTATAAATAGAAGTAGAAGTAGCCATAGATATAGATATGTACTATATACATCGAAGTACTATGAGTACGTATATATGTGTATATATATAGAGGTATGTATGTATATACACATGTTTATATATATATATGTATAGATACATGTGTATGTAGATACATTTACTTTATATACAGATGTGTATTCACTATAACATGCATGTAGTATGTACGTACATGTGTGTATGTATGTATGTATGCATGCATGTATGTACATATATATATACACAAAATTACTTACTTGTATGTATGTGTATACGGAGATGTATAGGCATATGCATATGTTTATGTATGCGCATGTGCACATATAATATAGATATAAGTGTATCGGTAACAACAGCCACCAAGCTTTCTCGAGACTATATAGCCAGAAAATCACACTGAAGACACTCATGCCATCAGGAGCAGCAACAGCGGCAGAAAGCCAGAGTCAGAAGCAGACGCAGCTTCAGAATCAAAATCAGGGGAATGGGCGATACATCAAGAGTGCACAATGCGGGTGATTATTACTGCCGCCATGGCATTCTAGAGCCCTGCACGACCTTTAGCGGCCATAGTTGGTACAAGTACTGCCTGCTACAATGATTAAAGTAGGCGCGCCCTAATAATTAGAATAGGGTTTTGGGTATATTATGCTACCATTGTACAATAAGGAAGCCCAAAACACTATTCTAATCATTGAGGCCCCTATAATCTCTTGTTACTACTGCGCACGACAACTTTCCTCAGGCTGACTCTACGCAAGCGCCGTTGAGACTGTTCGGAAGTGTGAGTCGGGGTATTGGGCCGCCTATTGAGCGTCTTCCTTGTCATTTCCTCCCCAATCCAGAACAAGGCAAACACAAATATTCACAAGTCCACGAAGCTCCTCAAAGACACTCACGTTAAGCAACACCCATGTTGGTTCAGGCATGTTCAGGGTTTAGGGTTTAGGGGTTTCCTCTGGAACGGCCTGCAGATTTGGAGGTCCACATAACATCGTGAGAGCCTCCCTACAACCCCAAACCCCCATATAGAGCCCTACAACATTGAAATCCGGCAGCCATCCGTCAGCCCTAAAGCCACTCTAGAACGCCTGAAACCCTGCATCCTTAGTTCCTGAACTGAATTCGAATCTAAACACGAACACTAGACCTAAAACCCTAAACCCTAAACTCTGCTTTGAACAATCGAGCTCCCAAAAACTTACATTCGGTTAGTAGGGAATGGAAGAATGGTAGTAATAGTAGTTATAACTGTACCCCATTCCTCCATTCCACGGTAAGACAAATGCAACGACAACTCCAGGAAGGCGCCTTCTTCGCGGGCGAGGCAGATGGGGACTTCTCGCCTCAAAGATCGCTTGTCTTGCTTGCAAAAGGGAGTTTCCGAAAACTAGGGGTACCTTATTTGGGTCCCTGTAGTAAGGATCCTACTACTTTAAGGCACGATCCCCTATTTTCGGAAACTCCCAAATATGAGGAGTATAGGGGCCTTAGTAGTCAGAATAGGGTTTTGTGGCCCACGATACTCTAAATATAAGGAGGACCCAAAATAGTATAGGTAACTATTTAGGCCGCCATATTAGTAGTCTTATTGCGGTGCACTGGTATTCTTCTTGCTCTTCATATGCTGACTCAGAGTGTTCCTCCAGTGTTCCTCTATGCTGAAAATCCTTCGCAGCATGATTGTCTTCTGCTTCCAACGCTGGAGCGATGTCATCCTTGCAGTGGCCCCGCCGAACTGCTACAGTCATTGAAAGGTGTTCCGTATTAGGGCTAAATTGAACAAGAGGCAGTGAGATTTCAGCAGTCGGCACTTCCACTCTTGAGAACGGCAGGAAGCTCACACTCAGCGTGACGGGAGCCCCACTCTTTTTGTCGTCTTTTTCCTTGTCGCTGTCGGAGCTGTCCTCCGAAAATGGAACTCAGTCTCTCAGTCTGACGGCGACACAGGACAATCCGGATTCGAGAGCGCGCCTTCTTCTTCTCCTTCTCGGCATCACTGTCGGAGGACGCCTGCAAGTGGATAAGAGGGTAAGAAGCCGAAGAATGCAATCTGTACTTCGTGGCAATGAGCACTCCAAGTCAACACAGCCCTGCGGTTCTCCTTCTTCTCCTCCTCCTTCTCATCGTCACCTGAATCAGACCAGCATCCAGGGGTCTGCTCCTACGTCGTTACATGAGCCGCAGAAGGATTCTGGACCCATAATCAGTGCATCTAACAGTACGCTGATATGCGTTTTTCTGCTACCGCATCTGCGGTGGTTATATAAGCAGGAGCTGGAGAAGGAGGAGAAGGAGGAGGAGGAGGAAGAGGGGGAGGAGGAGGATGAGGAGTTGCTGCTGCTGTTGTTGCTGATGTTGTAGCCGTTGCTGTTGTTTGCGGGTGTTGCGGTTGTTGATGTTGCGGTTGTTGTGGCTGTAGCTGTAGTTGCAGTCGTCGCCGTTGTCGTTGTAGCGGCAGCAGTAGCGGCAGCAGCACCTCTCGTAGCATTGCCTTTAGGCAGCGAAGTAGCACTAAAGCTGTCGGCAAACTGGTGATGATGCTCACGGAGAGGATAAGTCAGACGACTGCAAGGCAATGCCGACAAAGAGGCAAAACAAACAAACGCATCTCGACTTGCCGTCAGATACTTTTCTGAGGTGTCTTGTCCGGCAAACTGCGAGCCTTCTAAGCTCAATACAACCTCAGTGCTTTCAGCCTCTAATGTCCATGCCAATGCAGCTGCTTCAGGACTGGGGAAAGTGGCAGAGTGTCTTTGCCGCCGATCAAGAAGACGGATATGCACAGACAGACACTATGAACATGGATTCAATCGCAACCCTGACCGCCTCGGATTTCCGCAAAGGCTTTCGGGCTGCCGAGTTCAAGGCCTACTTCAAGACTTCGGGTCCAGGGTTCTGGTTTCTGGGGTTTACAGTTTAGTATAGCTCTCAAGGCCTTCAGTGTTTAGGGTTCAGCGCTTTACGGCTTCGGGCTTTAGGGGCTTTAAGCGGTTCGAATCTTTGGGCTCAAGACATTCGCGGCAAGGGCTAGACATAGCTCTTCAGCCGAGGGGCTGCTATCCTTGGCTTTCTGAGCCGCCTTCTTCTTGCCGCTGTCCTGTTGGCAAGACCGAGATGAATGCATGTTTGTGATATTCATCTAGGTATTGATATGCTGGTAATTGTGTATTTAACACAGACAGACAGGCAGATAGATGGACGGACGGACGTACAGCTAGACAGACAGACGGAAAAACTGAAAAGATCGATACATCCATAGATAGGCAGCTCGATAGGACGACGAGATGAACGAGAGATGGATAGATCGATAGATCGGGGCATCGGCAGATACATAGCCCGATAGATCGCGAGATCGATAGATCGACAAATGGGGCACTTGGGTTTAGGGTTTAGGGTCTAGCGGTTTCCGAGTCTAGCGTGCGACCTACTTTCTGTCGCATTTGTGTACGGCATGTTGAAATTACGCGTGCGCGTATGCACGCCTGCAGGCATCTACGCATATAGGTATGTAGATCTTTAGGTATGTCGGTATGTCGGTGTGAGTATGCCGGTGTGTGCATATGTACGTATGTATGTACGCTGATATGTAATCAAGTATTTGTATATGTAAAGCTTAAGGTGAGTGATTTGTGGAAGCATACTCATATGCCGCCAGACCCTACTACATCCATGGCTGCCGAGCGGCAGAGCTATCGGACGACGACTTGCGCTTGCGCCTGCACCACGGAGCAGCTGCTCAACTCATAGTCCATGGCATTCGTCTACTTCGTATATTAGGAATTCCCTTGTGGAGGGGTCAAAGCAAATATCCCTGTTAACGTCGGGTCTTTATTTCTGTCTCCCTTTCTGACACCCCCATTTGAGTTGCAAAAGCCCCATCACTGCACCCCCAGGGCTCAGGATAGGAGTCGTTTGATTACTTTGGCTTGGCAGATTCATGGGGCTGGTGCCAATCCAAGAAAAAAAACGAACTTGCATACACGCCCCCACACGAACACGGACAGCTCAAAGATTCGATTACACCATGAAGCATCATCTTGGAAATGTTTTTGCTTGTGCATTACTTAAGAAACAAACACGCATACTATGCAGCTGACATTCACGGAGTGTTGCCCGGCTGGAGGAGCGGGCATTTCGATGCTCTATGCCCACATCTATTGGTTCCAGGGGTGCCCAGTGCTGCTGCTTTGGGTGATGATGCTTCCGAAGCTGTTGCTGCTGCTACGCTGATACTACTACTGCTAACAGACAACTACCACTGCCAATACCACTGCACTACTATGCTGAGAGTCTGTCCTGCTACAGCAGCATCGAAACTGCTGTCATGAATCGGTTAAGGTTTCAAGCGCTTGGTAGTTCAGAGCTTTAGGCTTTGAGGTTTGCAGCCTAGGGGGGTCAAGGCGTCAGGGCCGTTCGAGCTTGTGAAGCGCATGGCTTGGGGTTTAAGAAGCCCGATTTCGCGGCCATGCTCCTAAAGCCCCTGTAAAGATCCAAAGTTCAGAGTCCTGATTTGGGAGTTTCCGAAAATAGGGGACCCGAATATACTACCCTAAATAGTAGGATCCTTATTATAAGGACCCCAAATAAGGTACCCCTAAATTTCGGAAACTCCCATTTGTTGCAAGGGAAGTCGTCTCAGCTTCGCGCTTCTTGCTTTTGGATCGCCCCCGGTCTGCCTACGAAGCAGGCACACGGGTTAGACTGCAGGATAACAGGGTGTTCGATTTTAGGGTTTAGGGTTTGGGGCGGGGCAAAATTTGGAGCTGGTGCTTGGGATTTAGGTGCTAGGTTTAGGTCTGAAGATAGGGGTTTGTGACTAGGATTACTTGGGTGTCTGTTATTGCAAAAAGCTCATGCGCACGCATGTATTATCATGTGTGTGTGTGTGTACGTACGTACGTTTATGTAATGTATGTATGCATCATTCACGTATGTGGGTTGCTAGGTCTGCAGCTAGCTAGCTAGCTAGGCAGGTATGCCAGCACGTCTGTCTGTATGAACATCAGCATAGATGTAAGCGGAATACAACACATGTATCATGTATATACGACTCAGGTAAAGTCGCTGGCTTGTGGCTTCAATGATGTCTGGACCCATGATTCGGGTCGTCCTTGGATCAAACGGATCTCTCGATCTAAAGGGAAAAGCCACATTGCTTCGGAGGGGGTAGCGGCAGCGGTGGAGGTGGCGGTGGTGGTTGTGGTGCTGGCGGTGGCGGTGTCGTAGGCGGTTGCGGTGTTTTCAATCAAAGAATATTCTATCTGACGATCCCTGTTTCTATGCTTCAGTTCCCCATGCAGTTCGAAGAACGAATTGAGCCCACCAAGCTCGCCATTGAGGGCTCTTCATACGGTGGTATTATTAGCATATGTGTTTGCGATGGTTCGCGTGCTACCCTCACGACACCAAGACATATGACTGCGAAAGCAATTACAACTACAAAACTCAACAGGCATCGAATTCGAGAACACCTGATCAAGATGCAACATCTGAGTCAAAAAACGGCAGCGGCCATGTCAGGACACATTCGGATTGCGCAAGACGACTGAAGAGGCTTCGCAGGCCTCGAAGCTTCTCAGAATCCACCATTCCAGCCCCACACCCTTTGTGGACGAAGATCGGATGCTGCATCATTACGAATAGCCTTTGCGGATAATCCCCATAGAAGCACCGCATGACATGTCCCGACAAAAAAATCCTTCTCCCATTGTTCAGGCCCTGGGCCCCACCACTTTGGCCTTCTTCCGCGGCGGGGTGGAGGACTTAGACTTCTCACCTCGGGCTCAAAACGAGGTGCGCGAGCCTGTATAATCTTTCAAGCAATCTGGATGCTGGCATATAAAAACATGGGCCAATACATGTATGTACATATAACATATATACACATATGTACGTATGATAATATCCTGGTGCAATGCAACATAACATAATACAGCGCTATGTGACGGTATGTTACACTATGCTGCATTACATTGCTGCACATTACATTATATTTTGTGGCTCAAACAAGTATACAACGCTAGAGACTAGCACATTCATGAAATAGTACTGACATACTATCACACATCATAGCCGCAGATGCTAAAATAGAATCTGACGAGTGGGGGTCCCCGGCTCTTCTTGTCCTCCTTTTCTTTGTCGCTGTCAGAGCTGTCCTGTGAAGGAAAGAAGATGATGAGGGTTTGGGGTCCCTTTTAAGGGGATCTGTCAGGGTCATTTAAGGGTTTAGGCTTATGGCTTGAGGGCTCTATTCGGATACTATAAGGGTACTATAAGGGGTGCTGTAATTAAGGGGGTTGTAAAGGGATACTTGAAGTGTCCTTGTCTGGCTTCTTGGCATCTTCGGCATCGCTATCCGAGGACGCCTGCAGGACTGACAACAGCACTCACTGCTACTCACACGAGGACAAACGCTGATGCTAATCTCTTCCGTGGCTGGTCTCTTCTTGGGCACAGCAAAGGCATGCGACACAGCTCGATAGCTCTCCTTCTTCTCCTCCTCCTGCAGGGCAGGAAGAAAGCTTGAGACAGAAGCCCAGCAGCCGAAAATACGAGCGTGAGCCAGGCACCCTCCGATTGCTGCCACTGCCACGACTACCCATCCCACATCACACTACACTCCAGTAGTGGCGACAGATAATGCGACGACGGCAACTACGACGAACATGATTGCTGCTGCTGCTATTGCTGCTGCGACGATAGCGTCGTGGCGGAAAGCAGCGAGGGGGACATCGATGTCGACTTCCTCTGCCGCCACCACCACCAACACCAGCACCGCCACCACCACTGCCACATCCGCTTCACCAAAACGACCATAAATAAGAGGAATAAGCATTATGCGAATACAAATATTATAGAAGTAGAAGTTTTGAAGTAGCAGTAGCGGTAGCAGCAGCAGTAGCAGTAGCAGTAGCAGTAGCAGTAGCAGTAGCAGTAGCAGCAGCAGCAGCAGTAGCAGTAGCAGTAGCAGTAGCAGTAGCAGTAGCAGTAGCAGTAGCAGTAGCAGTAGCAGTAGCAGTAGCAGTAGCAATAGCAGTAGCAGTAGCAGTAGTAGTAGTAGTCGTAGTAGTGGTAGTAGTAGTAGTAGTAGTAGTAGTAGTAGTAGTAGTAGTAGTAGTAGCAGCAGCAGGAGTAGCAGTAGTAGTAGTAGTAGTAGTAGTAGTCGTGGTGGTGGTAGTAGTAGTAGTAGTAAGCAGCAGTGGGAATAGGAAAATCAGTACCAGTAGCAGGTGGAGTGGCAGAGTCAGTGGCAGTGGCCGTAGCAGCAGCGGTAGCAGGAGCTTTCCGGAGCTCGCCTTTTTCTTCTCGTCTTCCTTCTCGTCGTCACCTCAAGCGAACACGGGCTCATCATCGACGTTTAAGACAAGAACGCAAATTTACAGGAATCGGGGGCTTTGCAATGCTGCTTTGGGAATGCGCCGTGCGCGCAACCTTCTATCCATCACGAGGCATATGGACAATCGACATGTTTTCTGACTGAAATGTCCATTGAACCTCTCTTTTGCCTGCCTGTGCACGCCCAGAGAAGGATTCGCAGAAGTCGCTTCCGTAGTAGTGTTGAATCTACGGCCGGCAGCAACAGAGCAACCGGCAGCTGCCCGACCCTAAATCCGAAACTCTGCTTATGTAGCGGCCTTCATACAAAGACTCGGGCTTTGGGGTATATTCTACCATAGTTATAATAAGGAATCCACAAACTAGTATTGGTAATTATTCAGGCCTTTATAGTATGTTGAGCACTGTCACGAAACACTCGCCATGAGCATAGGCCCCACAGGTGTAGGCCCTAGCGCAGGTTTTATTGGACAAAGGTGGTGCAAGCAGATGGTGCTACTTAGGGAGGAGCCGAAGCTTCCGCCCCGGCTACATGGAGGATAGCCGCTGAACGTTGCCAAGTGGCTACTGTCCTTCTTGGCTTTCTCATCCTCCTTCTCTTTTTCGTCCTCAGACTGACACTTAGGGAGGGATCCACCTCGACTTGGATATGCAACCATCCTGGAATCCTGAAACAGCAGGATTGGAAATTGAATTCGAGAGCACAGTTCTTTGTGCTGTCAGGACAACACTGAAAAGCCAAAAACCTCAAGACCTTCATCACCGAGTGCTCATCCTACAACCCTGAACCCAAACCCCTGAACCTAAAAGCGCAAATCCCGAAATCCTCAAACCCTAAATCCTGAACCATCAAGCCCTGAAACCCTAAACCACCAAGGGATGTCGTTTCCATAGGACCCGGCTTCGGAGGGCTTCGCGTGTCTGTTGGGATCCTCCGGCTGAATCTTACTGTGACCAGGATTTAGGGCTTAGGCCTTAGACTTTAGAGTGTTAAACCCTAAACCCTGAACCCCTAAATCCGGAACCCCTAAACCCTGGGGTTCAAGGCTTTTGGGGTTAAGGGCTGAGAGTCTAGAGCTTGGGGTTTGGAGCCCATGAGTTACAAGGTTCAGGGCTTTGGGTGTAGCGTTTCAGGGCTAGCATTAAGCACTACTCATGATCATTCTTAGTTCTATGGTGGCGGGGTTCTCGTATAACACAAACTGCCCCCACATTCAAAATTCTAAAGCCGAAAACTCGAACCCTAAAGCCTAAACCTGCAACCCCAAACCTTAAACCCTCAACTTCCCTCGACCCCAAACCTGAAACCCCTGGACCTTAGACCCTGAACCCCAGGCCTTAGGCCCTGAACCCTATACCGAAGCTGCCAGTCGAACAGAGCCCGCGAATGGCCTTGGGCTCGTGAGCATCGCCATTTAGGTCCTGCACATCATGCGCTCATCGACAGCAGAAGGACCGTTGTGAGTAAAGCTGGGTTCTTTTGAAGGTTGCCAAACGGGTGTACTAAAGAAGACTTCATAATGGGCATAGGGATGTGGAGTGTAGTCTAGCCTAGTTCCCATAAGAAACTATAGACTAGTCATTGTGATGAACCCTGAACCCCAACGAATAATTCTACTTTTTTACTAGGAAGTTGAAGGATCAACTCGATCAGCTTGGGTAATTTCCTGTCTTCAGCTGTAATAATCTGTTAGGATTCAGTGCTTAGGGCTCCTTTCAGAGTATCCAGAAGGCTTGCTTTAATATCTCTGAGGGTATCTACAGAGGGGCTATCGGGGTTTAGGGTTTAGGGAGCTATCGGGGTTTAGGGTTTAGGGAGTTAAGGGTGCTTGGAGGGTCCATGTACCCAAAACAGGCTTTCGGGCCAGTTTAGGACACAGCAGGGCGCCTTCGGGAGCTCCTGCCCATTTTCCTTCTCCTGCCCGGGTGCAGTAGTAGTAGTAGCAGTAGTAGTAGTAGTAGTAGCAGTAGCAGTAGTAGTAGTAGTTGTAGTAGTAGTAGTAGTAGTAGTAGTAGTAGCAGTAGCAGTAGCAGCAGTAGGGTTTAGGCTGAGGCTAGTTCGGGTTTATCTTTGAAGGAATTCGCACATCATGAGCCCGCTTCGTGCGCATCATCGCTGGGCGTCATGATGAATTAGGCTTCGTGCGCAGGTCCAGAAGACAAGATGGTATACAGTCACCGACATCACGCGCTACAGCCACGCCATGCATCTAAACTTATCTAAACCCGTAGGCCCTACGGCCTACAGTTTCCTAACCCAAAAATACCGCCCGGAGTTCCTCTTTCTTTACGTGGGAGTTTCCCACATTTCGACGTCCGGTTCGATGACACAGAGCGCTGCAAGGGCAGCAGCTTGTCCGTACCAAGGTTAAGTGTTTTTGGAGACTCTCGTATGTGTATGTATATGGTGTGTGTATATAAATATATACGTATGTATACATAGATATGTATCGTGTATTTGTGCTATATGTGTAAGTACATATACATATACATATACATATACATATACATATACATATACATATACATATACATACATATATATATATATATATGGATTTACTTAATTATTTATATTTATGTTTGTATGTATAACGACGCATCATTGAGTTTCCTACCCCAAACCCCCAGAAGCCGGGCTTAGGGTGTGTAGGGTGTAGGGTGCCTCAGACGCCAGGGAGGCCTCGATCCACGGTCGTCGATTCACCCTCTTGGCCTCCTCCACGACTCTTCCCCTTCGGCTCTTTGCCGCCTCCTGCAGCTCCATCAAGTCCGCAACCCTGGCCTCCATGTTGTCCTCACAATCCGCCTGTACGAGGCGTGTAGTACCTAGAACCGGTAGAACATAGACCCATAAACGAGGCACCCAAAGCCCTAACTGATATTGGGGCCTTAATAATTAGAAGAGGTTTTTGAGGCACATTGTACTATACTTATAATAAGGAACCCCCCGAATAGTACACGAAATTATTAAGGCCCTGTGTTAGACCCATACACCCGGCACCCAAAAGCCCTATGAACCCTGAGTTCTAGCGCTGTCAATTAGGGTTTAGGGTTAAGGGTTCAGGGGTTTAGGGCTTAGGGTTTAGGGTTCAAGCCCAAAATCAGTGCACCCAGCCTTGTCTGTGTCTCGGGCCCTTGCCTCGAAATACGGTTGATGATTTAAATCCTTTTTCGGATTTATAGGAGTTCCTTCCTTGGGATCTATAGGTTTAGGGCTTAGGGTTCATGATATACATCCTGCATTACCTTAAGGGCCCTAAACTATGGGAATTATGGCATATTCCTTATTATGGGTAATGCAGGATTTATATCATCAACCGTACGGGTTCTTGTTGTGCTACTGGTAGGTACTGTGAAAGCGGTCTGACATGAAGATGATGATCATCATGGTGAATCTTGTCGCTACTCTAGCTGCTGGCGTAGTGAAGCCCAATAGCCTGGACTCGCCTAGACTCGCCTAGACCAGCCTAGACTAGACAGCACAGCCTAGTTTAGTCCAGTCTAAGTCTATACTGGTATTGGCGACAATTGTCGTAGTAGTCATCGTCGTTGAAGTCGTAGTCATCGTAGTGGTAGTGGTAGTGCTACTGATAGTGGCAGTGGCAGTGGTGGTCGTCGTAGCAGCGGTCCAAAGCATCCAAAAAACACACGGATAGATAGGTAAAGGCTGGGGGCTCGCTTCGAGAGGCCCACTGCGGATCTGCACTCTGGGCCGGCGTACCCTTCGAGACTTCTTCCATGGCGCCTGCAACTTTCTCTTCGGGTTTGGGGCACAGTCGGCGCCGCGGGCCGTGGGGTCTCAGCTTTGGGGGGATGGGTATGCGGACTTCGGCCTTTTCGTGGCTGAGGGCATCGGGGCACCTTTCCTTACTGGGCTTGTTGTTTTGTCTTAGGGATGCCATATTCAAGTCTTCAGGACATGATCTCGAGCTACGCTGAGGAGATGAGGTTTGGTGGGCGGGAGGGCTAGCAGCCTACATCTGCATTGTAATTGCAGTGGCCCCAGTCTGCATATCCTGGCACACGTAAGTTTTCTGCTGCAAGACTACACCCGAAACTCTAAACCTAGCACTGCGAACCTCAAACTTGATCTTGGCTCTGCGGAGAATTTGTTGCCAGCCTCGCCATCGTCCTCTGCCGCTGGCACCTGTTCGTGCGAGAGGGGTGTCCGAAGCAAAGACAGGCTTGTAGTTCAGAGTCAATACCACTGCCGGTGGTTTCGACATTAGCTCTCATGGTTGATCTTGGGATTGATCAAAAATCTTCGACGTACTTCTGTTCATGGTTGCTTCCGTGTTAGAAGGTAAGCGTTTGCGTCGCCAGGCTTAGCAGCGCCAGGCTCACGAAAGCAGACCTGCCTTTTGATGCTTGCGGAACCCGAAAGCTGAATGACAGGCGACCATGAAACGGAAGAAGATACGACAAACGGCTATATCTTTGGACTTTACATCGAACCCCATCGTGGCAGGTTGCGCATGTTGACACGGAGTAGCAGTAGACACAGTTCGTAGTCGTCGCGGTCGTGCCAAGTTTTTGCCAGTTACTAGAAAGTTACTAGTTACTAGTTCTTCATTACTTGATGCTAGCAGTTGCTAGTCATTAGTTACGAGTACCCGCAGTACTTGTTGTAATAATACTTAGTAGTACTTCTGCTGCTGCTGCTGCTACTACTACTACTACTACTGCTGCTGCTGCTGCTGCTGCTGCTACTGCCACTGCTACTGCCCGCTCCGGCTCTGGCTCCGGCGCCTGCGACTGCTACTGCTACCTAACAGGCGAGTACGAGTAGGAGGACTAAGGTGAGCAGTGAACAGCGACGACTATGGAACACGACCACTGGCCATTATCAGATTTCTGCATGCTGAGGCAACGTGATTTCTGACTTTCACGAGCCGGGCACTTGAACTTGCAGGCTCTGAAGCCCACGAGTGCACATGTGATTCAAGCCCTCAGGCTCAAGATACAGATACACTGTATTATACACCTGTCTCTCCGCGCCCTCTCTACAACTATCCAACAGTCACCGATGTTACAAGCCAGCACTCACAGAAGTCTCAGAAACTGCGCGCCTTTGCGGCAGCAGGGGCTGCTTGCGCAGCCTGCTTGAGGCTTGGGGCTTGTGAGCAGCTTTAATCAAAGCCTCGGATCTCAGAGTTCGTTGGGATGTCAAGCTTAAGCAAAACACACGCACCAATCATAAGCTGTGGAATAAGAGTTGGGAGAGATGAGTAACACGTGCTGGCAATCTAACAAAACGTAATGAAGGGAACGGAGTGAAAGAAAGCATTGTTTCATCATCGTCATCATCATCATCGTGTATTACAATTATATAACAACTAGTAAAGTCTAACTAATCAGTGTCATTGGGGTACGACGCAAGAAGCAAGCTGACTAATGACGCTCGCTAACGATCGCGAACGGCAGCAACCACAGCATATTTGTGCTTCGTTGCTAGTGGGGCTCATAGCAACCGGCGTGCAACAAGCTCGACAAAATCACCTTGGTCCTGAACCTCGACCAAATCCTCAAAGTCTCCCTCCCCAAACCCTAACGTCACACGAAATCCTAAACATGCCGAGAATATTCCGCCCTGCACGACCCCACCTGTGCCACGGGCGCCGGAGGTCCTGGTGTAGGACTCAGGGTTTGTTGATCTCGAACCACGATGCTGAAACGACTGACAGGTTTCAACTCCACGTTGGTGGCTGAGACCGGATGACTGTCAGAATTCGGAGATTCAATACTAAGTTCTGTGCTTCTCATCCGCAAATTTGAAGGCCTTCATGAATAGACAAGGGTTTTGGGGTACATTATATTGTAGTGATTCTCAGGGGATCATCCCTCACCTATTAGTTATAATATCCCCTGACAGTCGCTATATAGTTATACTGCAATAGACGCGCGATGTTCTGATCATGCAGGTCCCGATACTGAGACCGATCTCACGACAGGCTATGCCAGGCCTGGCTGTGACGCCTTTGTCTGTGCATTGCCGGCCTCAGTCAGACGGGCAGACGGAGATTTTCAAAAGACGACCTGGGAAGCTCCGAAAGCAAGACCCTCGATCCGGAGCATATTGAACACTGCTTAGGATTTTGGCTGGTTTATGTCAGGATTTAGGGATCAGGGTAAGGACAGGAGGCAAATATAAATGCGTATATGACACAGACATGTATATCATGTCCTCGGCACTGCGCATTGCACCCCGCCAGTCAACCAGACACAACTGTCACATGTAAAACCTGAATACTTACAGCGCTTGTCAATATTATGACACAAATGTTGCGGGACAAAAATGGGACAAGGTCATTCATTTTTCAGACCCCACTAGCCTCTACCATGACAACTACGGCCCTCTTCAATAGTAGGCATACAGCCTTGTAGTAACGACAAATATCGTATCATTCGAGATTTCGGGCTTCGGAAGCCGCGGCCTCACCACGCAGATGCCTTACGACAAAATCAACAACACCGAACCCCAAGCCTGAATCATGACCGTAAACCTGTAACCTTGCTAGTAGCCCTTTTAACAACCCTTGCAGCAACCATCTGAGTAACCTCCAGAGTCATCCTTGTAGCAACCTTTAGTGCAACCAACGTAATGACCCTGAGAACTGGCCCTAAACCCTAAACCCTAAACCCCTAAACCCTAAACCCTAAACCCTCAACCCCTAAACCCTAAACCCTAAACCCTAAACCCCTAAACCCTAAACCCCTAAACCCTAAACCCCTAAACCCTAAACCCCTAAACCCTAAACCCCTAAACCCTAAACCCCTAAACCCTAAACCCCTAAACCCTAAACCCTTAAACCCTAAACCCCTAAACCCTAAACCCTAAACCCTAAACCATACACCCAAACAATTCGGCTCATAGGCCAAAAGCTTTGGCCTGAACCTCTGACAACCCTACAGTCGGTGGGTCGGCGGGCCTTAATACTTGAAATCTAATAATAAAGATAATAATATTAATAATATCAATAATATAAATAATATTATTAATAATAATAATAATATTAACATTAATAATAATATTGGGTTCCTTTAAAGGGCCTCCAGGGTTGCTGAAAAGAAGGCTCATGAGGATTATGAGGGTTTGGTCTCATTCGGGGCCTTTGGACCTTCGAAGAAGGCTTTGCCCCATGTGACTAGACCCAAGAGTAACCTAGGAATAAAAAGGGTGCCCTTTTTGGGATAAACGGGGTTATAAGGGAATCTAAACCCTTAAAAAGGGAATAAGGGCCTACTCTGGGTCCTAGACGATAAGGAACCGAAAGGAAAGTATGTGTGATGGGGCCCTGGCTTAGGGTTGAGGGTGTTCCTGAAAAGGGAACCATAAGCTATAAACCTTAAACCGAGCTCTGAACGCCAAAACCCAACAAAAGAACAACCCTAAACCAAAAAAGCCCAAACCCTAGACACCAAGCCCACGACCCCAAACCCTACACCCCAAACCCCAAAAACAAAACAGAAACCCCAAACCTGGACCAAAGAGCTGGGGATGCCGCAGCCGCTTTCTGCGCTGCGGCCTGGCAAAGAGCTTTAAGCGTCTGGGCTGCAGACGTTGGGGCTTTTGGGGCTTTTGGTTTAGAACTTAGGGCGCTAGGACAGCGAGCCATGATGCTTGATGCCGAACCTGTGGCGAGGACATGGGAACCATCGGATGCTCATGCGGGGTTTCTGATCGGATCCTTTTCCCTCCTCAAACATGCTCTTGCGAGCCTTCGCCTCAGGTGCTGTCTGGGCTTGCTGCTGTTGCACGGCACCTTAGCTGCAGGAGCAGGCAGGCAGCTCTCTAATTCTGGACCTCGTCAGATCTATATCTATACAGGAATCCGCAGGTTATCCTGCTGTGGCTTTCATGGTTTGCAGGCTTTTGTTCCGACACCGAGGCAGGGTGACAATGCGAAATTGTGTGGTAGTGTGGTAGTGTAGCAGTGTGGTAGTGATAGCGGTATGCTGAAAGTGACAATCAAATGGTAGTGGTGGCAGTGGCTGTGGTGGTGGTCGCGATATTGGCAGTCGTCGTCGTAGTAGTCGTAGCAGTCGTAGCAGTTGCAGGAGTCGTAGCAGTCGTCGCAGTGCTAGCAGTCGTAGCAGTCATAGCAGTCCTAGTGGTAGCAGCAGTAGCAGTAGCAGTAGCAGTAGCAGTGGCAGTAGCAGTAGCAGTAGCAGTAGCAGTAGCAGTAGCAGTAGCAGAAGCAGTAGCAGTAGCAGAAGCAGTAGCAGTCGCAGTGGCAGTGGCAGTAGCAGTAGCAGTAGCAGCAGCAGCAGCAGCAGCAGCAGCAGTGGGAAGCAATGTGGTGGTGGCAGGAGTAGCAGTAGTAGTAGTAGTAGTAGTAGTAGTAGTAGTAGTAGTAGTAGTAGTAGTAGTAGTAGTAGTAGTAGTAGTAGTAGTAGTAGTAGTAGTAGTAGTAGTAGTAGTAGTAGTAGTAGTAGTAGTAGTAGTAGTAGTAGTAGTAGTAGTAGTAGTAGTAGTAGTAGTAGTAGTAGTAGTAGTAGTAGTAGTAGTAGTAGTAGTAGTAGTAGTAGTAGTAGTAGTAGTAGTAGTAGTAGTAGTAGTAGTAGTAGTAGTAGTAGTAGTAGTAGTAGTAGTAGTAGTAGTAGTAGTAGTAGTAGTAGTAGTAGTAGTAGTAGTAGTAGTAGTAGTAGTAGTAGTAGTAGTAGTAGTAGTAGTAGTAGTAGTAGTAGTAGTAGTAGTAGTAGTAGTAGTAGTAGTAGTAGTAGTAGTAGTAGTAGTAGTAGTAGTAGTAGTAGTAGTAGTAGTAGTAGTAGTAGTAGTAGTAGTAGTAGTAGTAGTAGTAGTGGTGGTAGTGGTAGTCGGTAGTGGTTGTGGTAGTGGTGGGTTACGGATTGCAGAGTAGCTAAGCTGCTTGAAGATTTGGGCTGCTTCCCATGAAGACATCCCTGGGCGCCACACTTGCCATCATCGTGGACATGTCCCTTGGCAGACAGTGACTTCGGGCTTCAGTTCCTCCGTGCAGAAGTTAACCGTAATCGTGCTCCTGCTCTGCGTCACCATATAGCACAAGTCCTGTTACGCACACGTACGAGGCTGAAACGAATCGAGGCGATTTGCTAGATACATGACTTGCAGCGAGCAGCATGGGACATGCTGCAATGTTGTGGACCCACCCAGCAAAGGCGGGGTGTAACACGACCAATGCTTCGTCACTGCTGACAGTGCTGCTGCTGCCGATGACATCATGTTTTTGTAGCACTCGTTCCCATATTGGTGGGTGGTGGTGGTGCTGCTGGTAGGAAGCAGGAAATAGTACTTGGTGTTGCTGTGGCAGCAGCAGTCGTCGCAGCAGCAGAGAAGTAGTGTGGCATGGAGGCGGTCGTCATAGTAGCTTAGCAGAATTGGCAGCAGTACTCACACTAATACGACTACTTTTGCCATGAGACTAAACAGAGAAGAGAGGATTCAGCAGGGTAACGACTGAGCAGCACCGCATTTCTGAAATGGACGCAGTTACCTCTTGGCTATTGCAGTGTAGGGCTGGGGACCCAGGGGTTCAGGGTGGAGGGGTTGAGGTTCAAGCTTCCGGATGCGCCAGTCATGTCATGCACTTCATCAGGAGGACTGCTAGGACATGGATAGCCCGAACCCTAAACCCTAAGCCCTAAACCCTAAACCGAACACACGCGACAGAAATCCTAACCAAGGTCTGAAGCTCCGGAGCCTCAGCCCCAAAACGAAATCTCCCGAGCCATAGAACCGCAGACCCTAAACCCGAAAGGAAAAACCTCAAACCCTCTACCCTAAAGTCCTAAACCCTCAAAGCCCTACCCTGAAACCTATATTAACCCGTAAACCAAAAAAATCCGAAGCTCTGAACCCAATCGCTCTTCGCTCCGACTTCTTCGCTCCGACTGGGAAGGCGGCATGCCGGGGATCCCGTAGCCAGCCATGGGCCTTCTTGGGTCTTGGGTCTAGGTTTAGGAGGGTTTAGGACTTAGGTGGAGGCACGAACTAATTTAGGGGGTCGTAGGAAGGTGGAAGCGGATATACTCCTTGCAAGCAGGGCCCTCCATCCTAAAACCCGAGACTCTCAACTCCTGGCCCCCAACGATCAACCCCCAAACTCCTAAAGCCCAAACCCTGTACCCTAGGTTCCTAAACAACCTAAACCTGCAGCATCTTGCAAAGCGGGTTCTGCCTGCCTACCACGGACTCGACCGAGGTGAGTTTGAAATTCAACAGCAGGGTACAACAAAAGGGCGTTGGGTTGAAAAGGGCCTTACATTGGGATTCGGGCCGTTTCGGGTTTACGGATTTAGGTCTGGATCTTGACGGCTTGAGGATTAAAGGACCCTTAGGGCCTTAGGGCTAGGCCCGCAGTGAGAGCAACCTATCTGGCTGTCGAGTTTGGGGTTCTTATCATCATCATCGTCATCATTGTCATCAGCAGCATGATCCTCAGCATCATCGGCTTCTTCATCAATCTGGCTATGAACATCGCCTGCATCTCAGCTCGCAAGGTCTCAATTCCCCATTACCTTGCTGGTATGCAGACGGGCTTCAGGCTCTAGTAGCTTGCCTTAGTTTAACAGTGAAGCATGACGGGTTTGGCTTCGGGCATGCTGTCTTCCTGAAAAAGTGAGTGTATCTAATTTGAGCGACCGCGCATGATAAGAGTCCTATTACTTTGGGGCGCTTACTTTCCAACATCCTTGGTGGGACGAAGGCAATGGGCTGGATTAGCAGCTTTCAACTGGGTGTCTGGCACGCCCATCATGCTCATGGGGTTCACCATACCTTGCAGGAAACAGAGTCTGCGGCAATGTCTGGAAACGGGGGTAAGTAGCATTATTGGCATCAAGGATTCTCGACCACCGTCAGGCTTGCGCCCGGCGTGCAAACAAATCAACGCAGGGGTACACGAGCCACAGGCCAGTAGCTTTCCGGCCGAGGAAGGCATTGGCTCCAGGAGAAAAAGGCTAAGCGGCTTAACCCAGTTGCTAGTTCTTAGACACTACCTGATTCCTCAACCCCAGCTTCTCCACCCGATCTCCCAAACCTTCAACCCTCCAAACGAAACCCCTAAAGCCCGTAACCCCGAAACACTAAACCCCTAAATCTCTAAACTAATGGATCTCACAACCTCCCGGTTCTGGGCGTGCCTAGGCCGCCGAAAAGCAAACCCCCGGCCGCCATCGCGGCAGCCTGCAGGGCAGTGGCGCCGCGAACATGCTACATTACCTTGAACCTTGAACCCACACCCTAAGCCCTATACCCTGTAGTCTCTTGATGTTGATGTTGCTGATGATGCCGATGACGACGACGACGACGGCAGCGGCGATGGCGACGATGGCCATGGCGATGTCGACGACGATGGCGAGACGATGATGATGCTGCTGCTAGTGGTGACGGTGAGGGTGATGGTGTTGATAGTGCTGGTGATGCTGATGGCTGGTTGTAGTGCTGATGATGATGGTGATAATTCTTGTTATTATTGTTACTATTGTTGTTATTGTTATAATAAATACTACTACTACTACTACTACTACTACTACTACTACTACTACTACTACTACTACTACTACTACTACTACTACTACTACGACTACGACTACGACTACGACTACGACTACGACTACGACTACTACTACTACTACTACTACTACTACTACTACTCCTACTCCAACTCCTACTCCTACTACTACTACTACTACTACTACTACTACTACTACTACTACTACTACTACTACTACTACTACTACTACTACTACTACTACTACTTGCTTGCTTGCTTGCATTCGCAGCGAACGTCCGGGGTCCGCCCAGCGAGTCGGCAGGCAATGCCTGGCTACCGAGGCAGCGTTGTCTATGACAACCCACATAAAATTAAAAGCATCAGCACCGGTCCGAAGACCCTAGCATGCTGAACGACCCGAGCCGAGGCTCCGCAGTCTCACATCGGTTACTTCCGGGTATTCCGCAAGTACGAGCACATTATCAGTGCAAAATGCAGAGTGAAGACAAAAGCAACTTAATGCAACATCCGCGCAATTCGCCACCTGATGATCACCTGTACAGGCAGGCATTGGCAACTGAAGACGTGCACCGCTCTAAGCCGTGAAACCTACCACTCAGGCCGGATTCACGATCGGCTCACCACATAAGGAGCAGCTCACTGCTTGGAAACATGGAAAGAAGCATGACCTTAGCAGGACGGTTGAGCCATGCAGCATCGGCTGGGCTGAGCATCCATTTGAAAGCAAGTGCGATACCCAGCTCGATCCAAAGCAACGTTTCTTTGTGGCCCCATTTCAAAGGCTCCTCGCACTTTGTAGTGGCCCGTCACTGCTGGTACGGCTCGACATGAAACCCGTGAGTGCTCAGGAAGCACTTAGCATCATTCGGTAAGCTCCTATGCTGACCAATATGATAGGCTAGCAGAAGCAAGCGCTTTCCAGACCAGGGCATAGTAGCATGAAGCCGATGCGGACAAAACATGATGGCTTCCTGCGGCCAACAGGGCCATCCCGGCTAAGTGCAGTCAGCCCTTCCTCATCTTCAAGAAAGATCTGGCCCCCTCGGAATGACGAACATGGCAAAGAAAGGTTGCTCGAGCTTCGCAGGTTACGGGAGTCCTTGTGCAACTGAGCAGTGGAGTTCAGGGTCAACGTGCATGAAGTGAAATGCAACGAAGGATTCCAGGTTCGCACTATGCCCGCTAGGACCCGGGTGACCAACGGAAAAGCTCGAGCTTGTCTGTTTATCCCAGCCATATTACCATAATTCCATGCCCCCACCGTGAAGCGTTTCGGAGCCAACTCGCTCTGCACATGTTCAGCCTCCTGCGCCCAGCGTTGCCTTGGGTCCGCCGGCACCAAACTGATCAGGCGCTGCAGTTGATCCCATGTAGCCTGCCCACTGGCGAGCATGCCAAAAGCCAAGGCCTCCGTGCGGTCCTTCTCTGGAAGATGTCATGCCACAAATATCAACATCGCGAATAAGGTAAACCTGCTGGCTAGCGTATTCAAACTTCAGATCCGTCTCATACGAGGTAGCAGGACGTGCACTGACCATGTACACCCCATCCACACAAAGAGAACGCCAATCCTCAGTCTGTTTCGTACCGCCTGCAAGTTTGTTCCAATCGACCATCTCGTCATCGGCATCATCAAACTCGCCTTCCATGAGAACGTCACCCCTAGAGCTCATGCCAGTCACACCCGCAACGGATCCAGCACTGTCACCGGGTGCCTCCATGGCACAGTCGTCTGACCCCGCCGAACAAAAGGAGGCACTCAGAAGGGAGCCCGTCTCTGGCACAGACCACTGATATCTTGCACGCGCACAACCACACGGCTCCTAAGACTCAAACCTGACGCATCGCTGTAGCCCGAGTGCATCACCGAGAGCATGGCCCCTACGCGAGAGGTAGGAAAGCACTCCTTCGAGTAGATGAGGATGGCTCCCAGGGAGCGTACCCTAGCCGAGCAATGTTGCATCTGCAGACACATAAGAGAAGATAGCCAGGCGAAGGCGACCAAGTCGAGCAAGTCGTAGCAAGAGTGCACAAAACATATGAGCACCGACCGTTTTGCCACCTGCCCGCCGCGGCTTGAGGCCCACGGGCGAAAAGTCTGGTTGCCAAGAGCGGAACGGACACTCCCACTCAGAAGGGCATCGGAAAGCTTCTGCAGGAAACATTGAGAAAAGCTATGACATGAAGGCAGCGATGGCCTCGCAGCGAACTGCCAAGCAGGCACTCGGTAGAGGGCTGTTGCCCCTACAAAATTTGCCGCCATCACCATAGCAACTCTGCCAAAACCAGGAGCATCACGAGTCCATCTGCGCCATCCCGGCCAAGAACCGCCCTCAGGCTCTGATAGCTGCAGCAATGTTTGCCGCCAACGTCGACCGCACCATTCAGCTGCGCGGCAACAAGCTGCAAAGCAGCGCTGTGGCAAAGTGCCTTGAGGCTGGATCGAAGACTGTCTGAGGCAGCACTCACACTGCCCACCTGGATCAGAAAGACCACATTATCGCCCTGCATCTCTCCCGTCAGGGGTCGCGTAGGATGGAACCGCGCCAGGCTGTTGCTCGCCGCCACGTTCTCCAGGAGAATGTCGATGTGCTCCTGGACCTCCGCGGTCGTCAGAGGCGGCTTGCTGCCATCCACCACACTGCGCTGGCTAACCGGATCCCACTTAAGGAACGCCCATGCCATCGGCGGCTCCGCTGACACCCATCCCAGCTGCGCCATTTTCTCAATGTCATCCGGCTTGTCAGACAGCCCAGCCAGTCTGGACTTCAGCTCAGCAAAGAAACACACGAAGAGGGATGTTCGCATGGGCCGATTCAGCTTGGAGGGCTCGTTCTCCTTCAGCTTCCGCCACCCATCCGCCGCCACATACAGCATGGAAACCACACTGGCTGGCAAGCCAATCTTCATGTGGGCCACGAAACTGTACTCCAGCTTCAGAAGGTTGATAGAGTCTTCATGTCGAAGGACCAGCCGTTGCACCATCGCAACCACCTTTTGCAACTCCTGAGGCATCCTTGCCCGACGTCCATCCACCTGACCAGTCATCTTTTGCCCAATCAGCACCTCCACTCCATCGGTACTGCCGCTTGAGTCCCTGCATGCCATGCCGAGCACCGGCACCACCACCACCACCGCCTCCACCACCACCACCACTGCCACCATCACGGGAGCTGCCAGGCTTGCCATCCCGGCCTTTGCCCCTTCCATCCTGACCTTTGGCCTCCGAGACTCGCGGCGCCTTGCTTTCCCGCTCTTCCAGGGCCGTCGCAGCCGTGGATATCTCCGAGAGGGTCCCCGATCTCAAGTTAAGTCCCGCCGGCATGTAGGTCTGAAAGAAGGACCACTCCTCCGAACCTTCCATGTAGGAGTCGCTCATCCCCACAGAGAGCCGGACGAGGACTTGTGGCCTATCTGGCCACACTCAGAGATTGTCAGGATTGGATGGGGCCGGACTCGCTTCCCCTCGAGCCGGCACCAGCCACACAAGATACATAAGCTTTTCACGTTCAGAGCTCCAGAGAACAGGCTCAGCATGCTCCGAGTGATCATCTGTGTGCATCCATCCACTCTGAAGCTTGAGGGGCGAGCGGTAGTGCCCACTAGTGACATGAGCTCCATGATGCTCGACAATCGCCGCGACCTGAAAGGGTCGCCACCGAATCTGCGTACCATCCACAAAGAACGGCACACGCACAACGGCACGAATGGAAATGGCTGTCTCATCCTTTATGGCCTCGGCCTCGGCATTGCGTACGAGATGAAGAAGCAGAGGTCCCTCCTGCGTGACCATAGCATGAACATATCCCCGCGCAGCCCAGTCATTGACCAAAGCCTGCAAGGAGCACGCCTCCGCGCGCAAGATGAGCTCAATCGGAAGTCCACCCTGGTGAGGCTCATGTACCCCTTGAAGGTCCGAATATCGGGCAGCCCAGGTGGAGTTGTTGAGGCCCAGACCCTGAAGTAGAGCCACCGTAAACTCCGAAGCGTCCTGTTGCCTCCTGTCAAAAGTCCACGTGCGAAGAATCGAGCGCACAATCGGCTGCGATGCAAGGAATACTGTACTTCCACGTCTCACTGATGCCTGGCAAGCTGTTCAAGGAGTCGAGGGCCCGTGAGGTACACCGTGCCACCTGCATCGAATGAAGAAGTGCAAGAACCGCTGCATTCATGTAGCAGTGATTGTGTGGATTGCCAAGAACAACACGAGCAGGCCAATCCTCCTCTAAGACCAGCTCCGCCGGGGGATCAATCGCGAATCTCACCGACCTGGGAGGGACATCTGGTGCATTGGAGGGCACAGTCGACTTCGCAGTGACCTTCTCGCCTGATGCTGCCGTCTCCGACTGAGTCCGAAAGTACTTGCCGAGCGGAGTGGCCGAGACCTGAAACTGCTGGTACTGTGGATGACTCTTCGACTGCTTCTCTGATGGACCCCGACTCGGCGCCGGTTCGACATATCCACGTTGCCTGAGCTCCCGAGTCGCAAGATTCTGAAACAATGCCGCGCATTTGCCCGAATGATCCTTCGTGCTGCGCGCCTTGCTCCCGCAGAAGAGACACGGTGAACGAAATGCAGCAGATAGGCTCTTCGACCCTGCAATGGCACTCGATGACACTAGCTTCCATTCTGGTGCATGAGTGCGCTGCCAATGGATCTTCATCTTGG